GAGGTGGCCGGTCTGTGGGGGTGGCCAGTCTTTGGGTGACGGACGTTAGTGTTTAATTGCGACGAGCGGAGGCATTTGGCAATGACTCGCATTGGCGGGGGAGCTGTCTATCCATGACTTGACTAGACCATAGTGGGAGTGGACTTCATGAGCTTGACAGGTGATAGTGTGATGGATTTGCTTACGAAATGCCCAAAGAGTGTGATGAGATATTAAATGTTAGGTCAGGGTTTGAAGAGCTAAGCATTGCCAGATGGATCGGGCCTTTTCACACACAAATATTATTATTGACTTAATCTGGTTTATGGTGTTGAAGATTTTGAAATGAGAAAGAGGGAGAGAGAGAGAGAGAGAGTGTGTGTAAGTCGAGAGATAAGATAGGATAGCCGGAGCAGAGGATGGCAAGATGACATTTCCAGATTCAGTAACTATCAAGAGAGGCTAATGTACCTTGCTAGGTTCAAAGGATAATCCAAGCTCAACCTTGAAATGGTCTGGTCTTGCATGCCCATATCTAATGAAGGTGTAGAGGAGCTTCGATTTGGTTGGCAGATTTACAGATGAGATGACCTTGCGCACTAGCTAGCTACATCTTGTTGGATGGGGGATTTTAGTGATCTGACTGTTGGTTTCTGCTTCTTCATCGGCACTGCAGACAGGTACAGCCTCCTCCACAAACATAAGCACGCTATCAAGATAAGATTAATCTTGTGTTGCCACAACAGGATCGAGTAGTGACATTGCGTCTCAGTAACTTCTTCCATGATCAGCCAACGGTCAAAGAGCATAATCAATGACCCATTTTAGGCCGCCCGTTATTGCCCGTCATGGTCCGCTTATCACATCATAAACTCACCAAGACCAGCTTGAGTTTCCCCGCTCGGCTCGGTGTTTTCTTGATCACCTCAAGGTGCATTGGTGCAAGGTAAGGGTCTTGAGCTAGCCAGGGGCCCCTGAATAGATGCAAGAGCATGGCGGCAGAGATCATCGTCTTCTGCTTTCATTGGCTATGGCGCCAGAGCTCCCCTGTCGAGCCACCTGCGGCTCGGGGCCAATCCAGATCTGAGGCCGGGGTAGGCAATCAACGGTGCTAACACACTTTTGGATTAGCCCATGCAACTGCCCCTGCTCCGCGGCAGACGCTCCTCATCGGTTGGTCCCGTCCCATAATGCGCTAATGCACGCGTGTCACCCTCGGCTGTCGAATCACGGACCAGAAACGCTCTTTTTCACAACGACAGGCCTGCTCATCAGACCGATCTTTTCCTCCCCAGTCACTGCAGAATGCGACCTGACCCAGCTTTGGCGCCAGCAGAGCAGAGCAGAGCTTTTCACAGATCAACCACTGGAAAGCATGGCAATGCCAGGTCATGCCCACTAGAGCAATGGTCGGGTACATGTCGGACAGCTACGGCACACAGCAGAAGCCATGTATAGCGTCTTGCGCTGCATGAGTGTTGATATCTTCACGTACCCAATCCGTGAAGCTCAGCTAAGCTGAGTTGTTGCCGCGTAGTGGCAGCAATCATATGTTGTCTCACTGACTTTTGCTACGGAGCAGATTTGTTCAAGTCTCGACATAGACTGATCAACACTCGAGGTTACCTGGGCTAAGCAAGAGAGAGACATGTCAATGCTCTCTCTAAACCCATAACCCCATCTTGACTCGTTCCTTTATCGCTCACATGGCCCTTTCGACCCCCGTGACCTCCAGTTATGGGATTTCTCAACAACCCCCGCGCTGTTAGACGTCACCGTCTCCCACCCCTGGTCAAGACATGCACTTGTCCCGTAACACCCAACCATGCCGGTATTCTTTAGAACTGGAGACTTGGTGTTTTTGAGGGCCATCCATGGGGCTTCTGGCTTCTCGACCCGGCTGCGGACAGCCACTTGCAGGACTGCACGCACGAGGTCTTTCGCCGCTTGACCAATCTGAAGGTTGACCGCCTCTTTGACTATTCTATTCGTTAAAAATCGTCTAGGTACTTGGCCAGGGCTTCTCTCCTACCACCAGCCTATCTCCGTTGCGTCCTAGAGCCCAACAAGTTTCTGGCCCGATCGTCCACTTCGGCCGAGTTCCAGGACGTGAAGCGTGAAATATGACTCGCAAATCGTGAATTGCACAACTGACCATGGCTGCACTAGATGCTACTGTTTAATGAATCCATCTTAGATGCGACCGAATAGAGTTTTCAGATCAGCACAGTACACTCTCTGCCATTTGAGCATGGAACGACCCTGCTATGAGACCTTGATAGAGGAGGTGAGCTAGCGGTCGGATCCTTGTGCGACTTTTTGGCATTTCCCCTCTTCCGGTGTACATACTCGCGCATATGCAGACGCAGGTGCAAGAGCCCGGTGAGCTTCTCTATCAGCATCAGCATCATGATGATGGTGGGTGTTACTACTTCTTGGGATGGAAATAGATACTAAAGAAGCAACCCATACTGATCACCTCACAGATCCACTGCGTGAAAGCTGAGCTCATGCCTGAACTCTGAACGTTTCTTCTTCAAGGTGAAAGTAACATCACAAACCGCATCTCAGCCTTCTAGGGCATCTGGATAGATGGCAGTTGAACCTCAAGTACTAGCCAACAAGTGGAGGGCCTCAAATCAGAAGCCAAAAGTCAAAGCCCAAGCTCGCCCGCCTCGCATATCCTCCCGTGAGGAGCTAGATCCGAATGGGCTCCGACCCCCCTGTTTATGAGCTCTTCATGCGAGCAGAGTGGCTGCTGGATATGACCATAGATGGGCACACCATGCGCGACTTTCCCCTTTAGATGACTGAACCCCTGCTCGCCTTATTGTCTTTGTGCACATCTATTCCTAGAGTGGAGTTCCGATGGACACAGAGAGACCATCTTTTGACCGACTCTCCCCATTGGCTTCTCTAAGCGCAGTCGCTGCCTCTGGTGCCATGGCATGCTCGTCGTGCATGATGCAAAAATAGAAACAAGACGATGGGAAGCCATCATCGAATCGACGTGTGAAGGGCCACGAGAGAAGCGGCCAAAATATAAGGATTTAGCCCTCCAGCAGCCGCCCAAGAATTTTGCCCTCTTTCTTCTTCGTTATGTTCAGAGATTCCAAGTGTCGCCAAAGGTTCTCTTGATCCCCTTTCCTCTCTTACCGCCCTCCTCAAACCCTTCTATTACCCGCATCAATCTTTACAATATCCAGTTACAAGCAAGCCGGACTTGCTTCGAACCAGTCAATCATTACTACGCAATTTCCCAAAAGGACATTTCGATTCGAAACGAAACGGAATAACGGACGATACGTTGTAGTTTGATACGTTGGCCTGGCTGCCACTTACACGACTACACACAAAATCAAACAATTCGCTCAGTGATCCGTATTGATCCTGACCGATACAATAACACTAATTTAATTTTCGACTTGTTGAAACGGACTTGACAACTTCGGATTCGATATCCCCCCGGTCACGTTTCCCAACGCCCAACCTCTTGGCTTTCGCTTCTGGATCCTCAGCCCAGTTTAAAGCAAAAGACAAGCAAAGACAATTTCTCCATCCCGTCCCGCTCTGATCGACTCCACACCCGACTAGGCCTGGGTTTAGAGTACAGTGCGCGTCTGGTCCCTGATTACACAGTACCACTCCCCCCTTGTCGATCACACACCCCTCCTGGTCCCTACCACGCCAATACTCTAAGAACCAAGCATCGTAGCCTACAAATGTCTACGCTGCCCCCCGACCATCGCAAAGGCGTGTCGCGAGCAACTGGAAACACCGTCAACATGACTGTATCACAGTCTTCAAAGGCCAAACCGGCCTCCAAAGCCAGCAATGGCAAGCCAAAGACAAAGACGCAGATGCATCGTCGTTCAAGAACAGGTACGCCCGCTTATACCATCTTACTGAAGTGTGGTGAGCTAACATGAACCTCACAGGCTGCTATACTTGCCGTTTACGACGCAAGAAATGCGACGAGGGAACTCCCATGTGCACAGCCTGCAAGCACCTCGGTCTGCAATGCGAGTACAAGCGACCCATGTGGTGGAGCAACAACGATATGCGAAGGAAACACAAGGAGGACATCAAGATGATCATCAAGCGCAAGAAGCTCTCTGAGAAGTCATCACACAACATCCAGAACTCTGTCACCAGCTCTCCTCCTGGCCTCACACACTCTCTTCCCACATCAGCCACCTTCACTGATCCTCTCGACCGCACAAGATCCGCCTCCATTGACTCTCAATTCCCAGCTGCTTTCAACTTTAACAGCCCTCCCAGTGGCAACGAGTATGGATTCGGTGCGCCAATGCACCCCGAGTTCATGTTCGGCAGCTACTCGCCTTACGAGATCGATGTCAAGACAGAGCGACAGATGTTTGTAAATGATGTGCCCACAGTTCGCGAATCACACATCTCCACCTTCAGCACTTACCACACTCCTCCTCCAGCTGGTACGGTTCTGCCCAACGGTCCTCTCGACGGCGAGTGGGCCGAGCAGGTCTTCCAGGAGCGCAAGGAATCCCTTTCAGAGGAGACCCTCAACTGCAACTTCTTCGATTTTTCACATGGCCCTTCTACAGAGTCGAGGCAAGTCCAGATTGAGTTGGATGAGAATGACCAGCGCCTGCTGGACCACTTCATCCAATTCGTTCTGCCAACCATCTTTCCCATCCTCGAGTCCAACCAACATTGCTCAGTCAGCTCAGACCTGATACTCCCTGCTCTTCAATCAAACAGTGCCTACCTTCACTGCTGCCTGAGTGTCGCTGCCCAGCACCTTAAATCACATACCAATGGCTCTACCTCTACCGAGGACATTGACAACGACATCATGCGCCATCGCTATGCCACCATCTGGGCTCTTTGTGAGGCTCTCAAGAAGGATGAGAATCACCAGCAAATTCTCGAGGCAACCCTTGGCCTCATCTTCTTCCAGTCTGTCGTTGGCCGCTATGATGATGGCCTTCTCGATATTCCTTGGCACCAGCACTTCCAGGCTGCCATCAGCTTGGTGCAGAAGCTTGACCTTCCCGGCATCGTCTCTGATCCTACTCGGGCTTCAATGCAAACCCCCTTCAACATGTCTCTCTCGTCATGGATTGACATTCTCGGTGCCACCATGAAGGGTCGCTCACCAACATTTGCTCACACTTACCGTGAGAAGCATCTTTCTCAGCTCAACCCTAGCCTTGGCCTGCGCGAGCTCATGGGCTGTGATGACCGGGTCATGTATCTCATTTCCGAGATCGCCTGTCTCGAGTCTCTCAAGAAGGATGGCATGGATGATTTCACACTCTGTCAGCATGTCTCTGCCCTTGGAGAACAGATTAGCTTGACCGAGATGGGCGATGCAGGCCCCAAGATGCCTTTCAATGCCAATGGCAGCCTTTCACCTAAGCAGCTTTCTAAGAACATGACCATGGCTTTCCGCATTGCTGCTCGCATCTTCCTCTGCAGCCTGGTTCCTGGATTCAACCCCAGACAGCCATCCCCCATGGGCTTGGTTGAGAAGCTGACTACGGTGCTTCAACACATTCCCTCGGGCCCCAATGGGTTTGACCGCAACCTTGCTTGGGTCTATCTCATTGGCGGCTCCATCAGCGTTCCTGGTAGCTCATTCCGAGCCTTCTTTGAGGATCGCCTGGCTCAGCTGGGTGACTCGGCTAGGTTTGGCACCATGGGACGTGTAGCCACCCTCCTGCACGAGGTGTGGGTTCAGAATGACAGCCTCTCGGGTGTGAGCACACCTGGGTCCACGACGTCTGAGGCGGCCCAGCTGCACATCCACTGGCGGGATGTCATGGAATCGAAGGGGTGGGACTTTTTGTTGATCTGAGCACTGCTTTCTGCAAACCTTCTTGGCTGGCCTTTGAAGGGTAGCAGGACCGTGCTGGGTGAGACCATCTAGTTCTGCTCTAACCTTCTTTTCAGTAACATGAGAGCGGCCAGGACCACCTCATCAGGCGAAGCAGGCATTTGCCAGCCGTCGAGGACCAGGCTTGGAAGTGAGACTTCCATGTCCTACACGAGGCTTTGTTATTCACTTATTATCTGTCCCGAAAGGGCAGAGTTATCTTTTTCTTTTCTTCGTTTCACTTCATATACAATGATACCTACTGGGATGGGTTACTAGAGGAAGCCGCAAGGCGTTTTGAGATGAATGTGGGAGTACAAAGAGCGACACTTGGATACACCACATCTCGACATATTTTTGATACGGGGACGAGGCGTTAGGGACATGCATGCATAGGACGTTTGACAGAAGATACATGGCCATATGCAGGAACAAATAGGGCGGCAACACGATGCCGTTTTAAATGTCAGTTTATTGGATGCAAACGGTCGAGTACCGCGAGACTCGGGATCACTCGCTATTGTTTATTGCTTTACTATGATACCAAGCAGGCAATGGTATGGGGGGAAACGGCGCAATGAAGGATCTGGGGTAAAGGCGCCGTGAAGGATGACGATATGAAAAGAGAGGCTCTGGGAAGCTGGTTATGGGCTAGCTCCCAGAAAGGAAGTGGTATACAGATAGGACATTATGACCTTGCTAAGACAAGGCAAACAATGAACAAAGCACATTATTGTTGCAATTGGCTCTCTACGCTGTGACATTACCACGCACTCTATTTGTTCCCTCACTGTAATGACCACGGAAGATGAGATCACAGTATCTATCTGATCATGTAAATCACACCACATAATTCGGGGACTTTTCTCCAGTGCTGACTGCAAGCCTCTGAAAAGGGATCACAACTCCGAGAGGCACAACTGGGATAGGCATTAATGCCTCGGCCTGCTTACATTACCTGCCAGCATATTTTTCCGCATACGATGGGTTCTTTTACTTCTGCGCTTATTTATCCCCTGGAGAAGTCAGCATCATCACACCATGAAAGCCGGGGAGAGGTAGGTTCTCCGTGGGGGAGGCGGCGTTGAGAGGGTGGTATTGATGAGATGCAGATATGTGCTGCTACCGTAGGGCATCTACAGGGAGTTTTTCAGTGGCCTGAGAATGTTTATACTGTGGCACACGTGCTGGAGAAATGAGGCCTTATGCCCGTTGCGGATGTATGGAAAGGAAGCCGCATGCAATGCAATGCTATGCTATGCTATGCTACGCAAATGCAGTGCGAGGACAATTCATAGTATGTATATTTGGGAAACTTTCCCTTATCTACTTCATCCTATAGATCATCTATCTTAAAGCCTCACTCTATATGAGAATGCCCAATGCATGCAACATCATGAGCTGTTACTCCGTACGAGTCGCAGTGCATCTACAACGAGGGATACAGAGGCACCAGTGCACCAGCGCATCGCATAGCAGTGCATTTGATTTACAGGACGGAAACTTGGAGGCAAACACGTATTCTCAACAGCGATAGAAAAGGGAAGACGACCCCCCCCCCCCCCCCCGGTCTTCAGGGCTTCTGGACAGTGCGTGGAGTTCCTGGATCTAATGACTTACACGCCCCCTGTAGTGTAGTGTAGGGCATTCTTTTCTTTACCGACCGTAGCGGAGAAGACGTGGACTTTTTGCCTCTTGCCGAGGCCTAGGCGAATCTGGATTTTGTGAGATGCATTTCTGTGTGCGAGAGTCCAGGGGGGTTAGAGAGGGGATGATCGGGTAAATGGCATGCATTACGGATATCGACGAAGAATATTACAGTAATTATAGGATGGAGAGTTTTGGTGGTTTGTGTCACGATAACGGATGTAGGGGGGTTAGTTAGTTATGTTACAGCAGGGACAAAGAACCAGAGAACGCACTGGAGACCAAGATATCCGTGCTTTGTTCCTGTGACAAGGTCATGTAAAAATTGGTTCGTTTACTGGTATCTATCGTCACTGAACAAGATAAGGTGCCCAAGGTAGAGTTCCAACTTCACTGACAAGAACGAAAGGGAGGCAGCCCATAACGACAAGAAACAGCCTGTTGAAGCCTAAATAACACAACACTTTCACTCTATGCCAAGAACTGGCCTTCAAACAGTAACCTCTCTCATGGGGTTCCCCGTCTCATTGGATCTCATCACAACCTGAGTCCAAGTTAGAAAACTACGCGCCCAACCTTAGCGCTTGGCCATGAGTCTTCAGCGCCTGGGACAGAACCCCCACAGCTGAATTTTTACTGGGCTCTGTTCAACAGACACCAATCAGCGGCATGCATCGCCGCGCGCTTAATGTCTTCTGAGACTCTCAGCCAACCACAGCATTTTCGTCTGTCTCAACCAGGGCGACATTATCGCCAAACAAACCAGTTTCTATGTCCTCCCACATCTAGTAGGTCTCGACTGACTACGTAGTGTCTACTGGCGTGTCAAGCGATAGGCCCTAGACCCTCTCAGCGACTGGCTCTCAGCGCCTCTGACCAACCGCCCGATGGTCTCTGATGCGACAGTCGAGCCTGAAATATCGTCCACGAATGGGTCGAGATGGCTCTCAACGGACAAGGCGGCAAGGCAGAGGAATGCCATGTCCATGATGGAAAGAAGACGGTTTCCTTGTCAGTGACCTCATGGTTCCATTCTCGGTCTTTGTCTAGTACCCTTGTTCTCCCTCTTTTTTCTCACTCTCTTGTTCTGCGTTCTGTATTTACTGTTCCGTTTCTTCACCTTCACTGTTCTATCGAACAAACAAAACAAAACATATTCACTTGTTCAGTTGACTCATTGCTTCCCTCTTTGTCATACGCGCCGGTTGTGTCTGACTTACCAACTCATCTGCATATCATCTTCTCTTGACTCCTTGCATATACAATATCACATTCACCCGAAGACATTCCTTCAACAACGAACCAACAAAACCAACGCTTAGTAACCAACACTTAAGACAACAACCAACAACTACACGCATAATACACACCAAATATGCTTTTGGGAAGACTCCCAACACCCCTGAGGGTTCTGTTTATCACAGCCCTCTACGCTTCAACATCCTCCGCTCTCCCCGCGAACAGTGTCTTCGCCCGCGAAGACACATGCGATGCGGACCAGACATCATGCAACAGCGACATCGCCAACTTTTGCTGCCCCAAGGGTAACTCCTGCAGACTTCTCGCTGGCAAGACCACAGCAGTATGCTGTCCCAGGGGCCAGACCTGCAATGTCATTCAACCCATCACCTGCGATATCCGCGGCCAGGACCAGAGAGAGTTTCCCAACGCCCCTGTCAAGACGATAGTATTCAACCTCGATCTTCAAAAATGTGGACAGAAGTGCTGTCCTTTTGGATACTCGTGTGAAGACGAGCAGTGTGTTATCGACAAGGATCAGACCAATGTCCCAGAAGGTGCTGAGCTTCCTAATGAGACGTCTACGCCTGTTCCCAGTGCGATAACTACTGCTACGGGGGCTATCGAGACCATCTCCATCAGCGCTGCACCCTCCACGAGCGCTGAGCCCACAGCAGCTGTTGGCTCAGACAATAGCTCAGACAGGGACGGAGACTCCAAGTCCGACAACTCGGGGCCTGCTACTACCTCCATCGTTGGCGGTGTCGTCGGCGGCAGTATTATTCTTCTGATAATCGCCGTTGTAATCTTCCTCTACGTCCGTCGTCAGAACAAACGTGATGCGCAAGGCTCAGAGAAGGGTAGTCATATCTACGGTTACGGCCGTCGGTCCACGAGCGATGCCTCGTTCGGAAACATCATCTCGGAGCCCATCAGCCAACCCAACTCTTACCGCGCCGACTTCATCCTCAAGACCCCTTCAACCCAACGCTCAAGCATTGTGCCTGCACGCCAGCTTTCCAATGCTAGCACACGTCTCAACGCCCCACCTCCGCGGATTCGTATCTCTATTCCAAATCCCTTCGACTCACCCAACCCCTCGCCCAATGCTCAGCCCAGTCCCCTCGACAATGAAGAGTCTCTTCGACATGGAAACGTTCGGCTACCACCGATCCGCGCTATGAAGGGCTCGTCGTACTGTAGTCGTCGACCAAGTACCCCTGAGCTTCAGCGTGAGCCGAGTAGCGAGAATATCAATGTTTTCGCGGACCCTAGCACCATTGTGAAACCCCGCCCCCTGACGAGAGCGACAACATTCACCGACCTGATGGACGAGGCTGATCTCGGCGCTGTGCGGCGAGGGAAGCCCTACGTCCCCGGAACCACCCCCAGAATCTAGACCTCACTGACTTACACCATTTCCTTTTGAGCTACACCATTCACGTCTCTCTCTAATGCAAAATCCCTTCACCACCATCTGCAGTGCAGGGTGGGATCCTCTCACTAGAACTGATTTTGGGCGTTGTGGATATAAATACTGGAGTAGCTGTCATTTATACCCTGGGCTAATTCAATAAGACCCAAATCTTGTTATGTTTAAATATTGCAATGTTTTATGTTTGATAAGAGTTATAGATTATTTAAGAAATGATATGCAAATATTTGATCATCTCGTTTCAAGACAAGTGAAGCAAAAGGAATGAATCGTAGAAACCAGTCAGAGCAAGTTGGATCAGTGCAGTATCAAAGCTTGGATATTTTTAATAATATAACGACAGGTAAATAACTCATAACGACCAAGAAGCACTCACTTTCCGTTAGCCGTTTTTGCTGACTCCGGCGCTCCCATGACAATAAAAAAAAACACGCTATGCCAACCCGTTGATAAAATGAAAGGGAACCTAGCGAGTGAACAAGATACGGCCCGCGAGGCTCATGCCAAAGGAAACGAATCGCACAAAACAAAAAGCGCAGTGATTGGGTATGTGCGCCTAATCCATCACGTCCATAAACTTCCTATGTGGCGCCAGCCTGGATATTACCTCCAATATTTACTCAAGATAGTCAATTTGTGCATGTTGATGTCTCACATGACGATACATTTCTTATCCTTCTCTTTCTCCTTTTCCCTCTCCCCAGAACCGGTCGATATATCTGTCCAACCTGCACTGCTTGCAGCATCTGCAGCCTTCTTCTTCTTCTTTTTAGGTTTGGCTGACCAACCACGTTTTTTGGCATCCTTGATGTTCTTAGCAGCGCTTCGTTCAGCACGACTTGGCCGGCGATTAACTGTTGGTGATGTCCTGGTTACCGGCACTGGAGGAGCGTGCAGCCATGCCGGCACCTGCTGGTTGGGCAGTGGAACGGTGGTGGGCGGGTTGCCTCCGTGACTCGAGGCAATACTGTAGATGGTTTCAAGTCGCTCAACAGTCGGCCTCTGATTCGAGCCAGGTACCGGCCGTGGATGCCGGGGGATCGGGGCCAATAGAGGAGTCTCATTCCTTCGTCCAGATACTTGCCGGCTTGGCGAGTCGAAAGCACCCGATACACCCTTAGGGGTGCTAATGATAAGAGGTTGATCGGGTTCTGGGCGACTGAGATTGGATGGCCCTGTCAATAATGAATCGGGCAGGGAGCTTGACACGTACGAACTACCGTCAAAACTCCCGACAGGCCTTCTTGGGACTTGGAACCCTCCAGAAAGCCGTCTTGGGTTACCCTGGCTGACTCTTTTGCTCAGACTCGCAAGCTGACTCGAACTCGGCAGAGGGGGGAGGCCTGAAATCGACTCATCTGCGGCCTGTTGTTCGGCAGGCGCAGACATTGGGAATGGATACCCATCAGCCGAGGCAACACTTTGCTCAGCCTCATGGCCTGCAGCTCGAGGCCAAGTTTGAGCATTCGAGAGCCGCCTCGCTCTAGGCGCTGGGTCTGACCCAGCCTGGGCCGTAGAAACGGTTGATGGCACACTCTCCACATTTACAGCTGGTATTCGAGTACCTGGGCCAAAATGGTCGTAAGCTGAGATATCTGCCTGCACTGGTGAGGGTGACCGCCCCTCCCTGGAGTTGATAGGAACTGTCACAGCCCTAGATGTAAGAGCCGACACAGCAGATGATATTGATGTTTGTCGTGCTCTGGTTTCAGAAGTTCCGCCTGTATGTGGAGCCGCTTGCTGTCGTGGAGAACGGGGGGGAGTCACGTCGTATAGATCAGCATCCTCATCCGTCTGGGGTAGAGGGCTCACACTGTTTTGTGCTGCATCACCAACCTGCAGTTGATCTCTAGTGGTGTATCCTCGCAGGGGATGTTGGCCAGAGGCTCGCTGCGATGAATTGTTTCCGGGCTGCTCACCTTTGGAGTCGATGCCGGATGCTCGGTGATTCTCAGGCCCAGGACGACCAGAGGCGGATGTAGCATGATCTGGCAGTGCTGGCACTGGAGCTGGAGCGGGAACAGATGCACCACCAAGTCCTATGGGAGCAACAGAAGGACCACGCATAAAGGCCGGCAAATCGGGGCCTGGGTCTTCCTTTTGATATGGTGGAGGAGGAGGTACCCAATTGTCAGCATCACTCTCATGTGGATGCTCTCTTCGGCCATCGGCACGACGATACTCAATACGTCGTCCATCTGCCGTTCGGGGATGAAGGGATCTGTCGACGGCGGCAGCGGTCGCAGCACGACGGAGCGTGGTCTGGGAACGTGGGCTAGCATGTGAATAAGGGGCATCTAATGCCTCCATTTCCTCAATCGAAGGAGCGTCTCCATCTTCACTGGGGCTCACAGGCTCAACGACTGCCCGACGATTTGCTGGCTGAGATGGAAGCTGACCAATCCTCCGAGGAAGCAAAGGGTCATCGTCATCATTGTTGTGGTCCTCGTTTAGCGGCAGTCGTGGAACCGCCGGTATTGCTGAAGCATCAGGAGCTGCACGAGGTCGAGAAGCAGACGTAGCAGCCCGAAGCAATGATGAGCCGCCACGGCCACCTCGCCTTTGAGCAACAGTACGTCGTCGTACAATGGCGACTTCGGTTGCCAGATCGCGTTGCTCTTCCTCCAGCACCTCAGGATTATCAGTGCCGACCTCAATGATGATCTCTGACTTGGTTCCGTTAGAGATCCCATAGTCAAAGTCCAAGAGCGTAACGCGACCACCATCGACAAAATCCATGTCTTCCTCCTCAGTAACTAACCGCGGTGCTCCAACCCCCCTTGCGGCAATTACCAGGCGCTCCTGAGTAGATGAGCTATCATGCCCTGCAACCCATTTCACCGTTTTAACTTCCCCATGCTCGGCAACCTTGAAGCCAGAAACAAAGGTGTTCCTTAGTTGGTCGCACAAAATCTGCCATTTAGGCACTCTAGCACCTTCCGGGTTATTGATTCGCGTAGATGCCCGTCGCGATGTACCACTCCGATCACTATTTTGTCTCCCTAGACCAGATGCTGACCCATCGTTTGACGATGACACATTGTCAGGGACAGCATCCAAGTCCTCAGGTATGCCATATATCCATACCTCCCTCCCTTGAAAACCAGCCGACACTAGTTCACCTCGATATGTTGTAGAAGGGAGTGTGGAGGGAATGAGACTGGCCTGTGGAGATGCGCTTGGTACGGGTCCAGTAAAGTAAGTGGTGCCATTCCGAAGGTCATCAATTCGAACAGCTCGGAAGGTCTCGAAGCTCCTGTCATAGGTGAAAGTCCAGCTTGCCTCCTCTTCGCTTCCATCCTGAAGCAGAACGGCATGACTGCAGTCACGACTGGTGTTTGGGAACAGGATCGACGTCGTCCATAGGGGGCTCAGGTTATCTTCGGACATATGAGGGCCTGGATCATAGTACGGAGCTGTGATTATGACGGTGCTAGGTGGCGCCGAATGAATAGTAGTACCGAGAATTTGAGTCCCATCAAACGAGAAAGATAAAGCGTCGACAGCATCACATTTCACAGCTCTTCGATCAGTGGCCAGTGCATCAGGCCTTAAAGACGATACCTCGATGCCACCTTCATAAGCAGCAGCCAGAACAGAACCGCATGGCGACAAAGCAATCGTTCGGGGAGTGTTGTCAAGAATTATAGACCGTGAGCGACGGGGTGGGCTTCGTTGTAAGTCGTATAAGTCGACCTGCATCTCAGTAGATAAGACTACCAAGAGGGTGCCTTTATCGTTGATGCAAGCGGCGACAGGCCGACGAAGAATCTTGAACTCCCTCTTGACTTCCAGGTTCAACCCTTTCAAGTCAATCACATAAATCCTACCCGAATTGTATGCCAGAAGATGGTGCCCCTTTGGGGAGGCACTGTATTGCATACCCTCGCCACCAGGACATGATGAAGAGCTGATTGAGGTCGAAATAAGCTTAAAAGTTGTTTCCCGCGGTCGTAGGTATGCCTGGAAGAGGTTTCGCTTTACTTCACGAGCAAAAAGCCGTCGCAACTCGGGGAGTTTGTCATCGTCCGATTGTGGTGGTGTGGGATGGCTCGCCGAATATGAAGGACATCTCGATAGCTGATGCCGATAAAGATGGGCTCGTTGAGAAACACCCCTCCATTTGCGGTTCAGGAGCACAAGAGACGCAAAGCCGTTGGGGTCAGTTTGTCGAAGAATCCTAACAGGAAATGACAAACGTTAGCATATGATAAAAGGAGAGGACGGCGTTTGTCGATGACACCAATCGCTCGATACAGACAAGGATAAGTTTGATGTAAAGTTGCGGAAAAATCCTGTGTTTACTCACTGTTCAATGATCTCGTCGGGGAGTCTGTCAAAAGGCGGAGTTGGAGGCATGGGCATCTTCTCGATACTGGAGCGACGGACGTCGGTTACCGACGCGTCCATGACGCTTTGTCGCTCTACGGTGGGAAGCCGTCGAGCATATCAGGTCGATGAGTCGCGACTATGCCTAGGAGAAAGCGAGATTGGCGGAGATCGTGTCTTGGGGACTGAGTCTTTGTTGTAGAGTCGAATGTTTGGCGTGAGTGTGAGTCCAGATCTGGAAGCAGGTGTCGGAGTGTGGCTGAGGCTTCCTGTTCAGCTCGAGGCGTGACGATGGCGGGTTCCCTTTTCGTGAAGACGGAAAGTTTGGGGGCGATTCGATGTAAGCACTAAGTAGTTGGTAGGCACTTGATTTACAGGACAAAGCAGAACGCGACACACAAAATTCGATTGAATTGAAAGAAAAGGGTTGCTTGGATGTATTGCATCTGCTTACATAGTAGATACAGGCAGTTAGCAACACGCTCACTATGGATGATCGGCATATTGCCAGAGCTTAATCAATAGTCCAGCTGTGTTCCCATATTCCCCCCTAAACTTGGATGCCCAAGAGTCTCCAGCTGTAGACATCATCGCCTCCAAACCTAGCTACTGTACTAAGATAACTATGCCGTCCAGACACTAGTGCATGGACCATGTTAACGTGCCTTTTTTAAGACGAGCTGAAACTAAAAATTATTGAAAAATTATTAGGAATTGTGAATATCACGTATGACCTCTGTAGCGTAATCTTCGACTCTTGATTCTTACCTGTTGATTGGACACCTGCCCTTGACTCCACTTGGCGTTACTTGAGGTCAAAGGGGAAGAAACGGAGGAATGGAGATGTCTCTCTATCAAACAAGCTCTGATAAGTTTATGCTATGCTACCCCAATAATAGGTTATTTATTAACCATAACCTTATTACGTGGTATCGGGTTTGTAATTACTATATATATATACCTGTGGTTTTGCAATAAATATGACTGGCTGCCTGGTTTCTCTATTGGTAAAGAAAGTGCATAAGAGTTTCTCATTTTCCATTTGCACTCCTTAGGTGGCCCACGTCTATCCTTGTCTATGACTGGTCTATGGCATCATACGAAGTGAGTAGAATTTGCTGAGAGACAACCTTGTCGTAGACGCGTTTTGGCCTCGGAGAATGGATGGATGTGAAGGTCGCCTTTTGATGGGGAGATGAAGCATACAATCATGCAAAGTATGGTACTGGATAATTCGAGACAGAATACTCGGGGTCGACGCGTTCGTTAGGGGCAGAAACCTGATGGGCGTTCTATCTATTGCCTGTAACGCTTTTATAGTTGACCCTTCAAGGCTATTTCCTAGTTATACAAGGCCTTGTAAAGATTGGCTGTAAGGACAACTGCCAGATGCTGGAAATGGTGGAGCAGTGTAAGCGACGTTGGTAAATGTGACTCTTTCAGCGTCTGCAGTTTGGTAGTCGAGGTGACATTTCGCGACAGCCATATGTCACTGTCTCACGATCAAAGGCTGAATCACAAGCCACAGCAGCAACGAACGCACATTCGTCCTCTATTGGAATTTCTGGGACGATCAAACCAGAGGTAACATGTGGTCTTATCTATACTCGCACAGGCGATGTAGGACGTGGAGCTAGGGTACCGGTAATTCCAATACCATCCCATCCGTTATCGTTCCAGAGAACCATCACGGATAAACGGAAAAGTCATTATTGGTACCTTAGCGTTAACCCATAACATGAGTTATAGCATACCAGAAAGAGGAGAGGCGCAACTAATGCCCTCATTCAGTATGCAACTCTACCACACGAATTTCTCTGCTTCTCCTGCGCCGTTGTGAAGGGCTTGGCCAGAAACCAGTTCGTGTAACCCGAGTTTACATGTCGCCAGCCGTATTAAGTAGTAGTCGCTACCTAGGCGAGATCATCTATAATTAGAAATTGGCAACGTCTCGACCGGGAGTCCGTCTTGCCCGGATACAGTCTAGACTGTTTAGTACATCACTTCCGATGTCAAGGACAGCGTCTCATTGCTGATATCAGAAATGTTCTTTAGTGCCTGGCATGGAGAAAAAGGAACGTATTTAGGTATGTGTAGGCAGTAGCAAGACATCAATGATACAATAGTCAATAGCTGAATATCGAAGCGGTATGTGATGAGCCACTCCATACCTTTTTTCCCGGCATCAATAGTCTCAAAGGATTGCGGATAAGCAGAACGAGCCAATCCTTTGGCTTGGCACGTACTATTAAGTGATATGATCGGTGCCCTGGTGGCTGTACTTGGGTAGCAACAGCTTGCAATTGGTATCTGACGTGTTATATTTCAAAAGTCGCTTGCTTTTGTTACAATTTTGTTCTCTATCGGCCCCTTTTTGACATAGGTACCGTACGGAGAATGAGGTCGTTGCATTCTAGGGTTCGGCTTTATTCAACCCATGAATGCAGTCTAATAATAGAGCACATTATACCTACCTCCGGACATAATCCGGACCGTGAGCAGCTGCCACTGGCTGTCAAAAGTGTCAAGCATTTCGGTTGCGCCTCATCAACGCAGAGAATACGACGGGTTTAATCTGAACAACGGCGCTTCTTACAGGCACGGCCCGCCCCTCTAGGTAAATCCCCAACCCTAAATCATGATAATTCATCAGTGCATAAATCGGTAGGTCACATACGTAAGGTCCACTGAAGGTCTAAGCGATTGAATGGAGTAATATTATAATTATTTCAAACTTTTTGGTGCGCTCGGAACGCACAGACAAAGAGAGGAGACCCCTGAGAAATGGGCCGGTCGATAGCCGATGGATGACAGACACGGCACCAGAGAGCTGTCAATCAATGTCATCGATTTCAGCCCTGGGCCTGTCTGCGTGGCCTGGCAACTTCCGCCGCGCTTGGCACAATGTGGAAATGATGTGGAAGCGTGGGAAGCCTGTTAGCTTGTAGATCGGTTGCGGGGTTTGCAGAGACAATGTGGAACTTGTAGCTTGCTTTTAGAGTCGACAGAAACGGTAAGATCATCCAAGGCTCTCTGGTGTTTGTTTACGTACTATCAACCTCAACGGATGGAGTTCCTCCAGGACAAGGTCCCTTTGGGCCGTAATCTCTTTGGACCTCGGTATATCTAAAGGCGAGCAAGCCGAGTTGATTGGTCTATACGGGCATGTGAAGAGAGGGAATATCCATGAATATATCCCCGAGTGTCAGTTTGCCATGATAACCTGATCTGATATTGCTGCTCCCTTGGCTTGTCTGTGAGCCACTGAGATATTTCCTTTATCGTGTATTCACTATAATCTACGTCATCGAGATCCGAATTCCACAACCTTTAGTCGATCTTGATTTATTTGGCAACCTTCCCAGTTGTTGAGCGCATCACATCCTAGGTCGATGTTTCCAGCCCCAACTACTAACCAATCGTCCTTTTCAGTCTGTCTTACCTCCATTTCTGGTGATTTTTAGTCCATGATCATGGATAACCCCGTTTTCCTGGTCCGGTGCTTAGCCAAGGTGGAGACACGGAAATGGTGGAAGCTCGCGAGTCAGAGACCAGCACCCAAAAGAAGGCGCCAGCAAATACCGAGAGTCCTACCAATCCAAGCCTTAGAGTAGATCTGAGGCTGGCATCACATCCGTCCAAAGAAGGAGTGGGCCAATACCTCATTTCCGGGCGATCACATTAGAGCCGAAAGCTAACACAAACACAAACACGCTTGACGAAAAAGTGGACAATATTGACATGCCTATCTACTTTAGCAAAGTTACAAGCTTAACGGACTTGGATAAGCTTGCGAGACTGATTTCTCAAGAGTCCAGGCTACCTAGCTCAAAGACTCATCTCAACTGAAAGGAACTGAATGGTGATGTTCTTTGAAACTCGAAGGCAGCGAGGTTGGAGAGCTAAAGACGAATGAGGCAAGGCTAGATACACGAAACGTTATCTTCTAGAACCTGACCAAGATGATCTTCAGGCATCGTAGATCTAGGCCGCAACGATATTCCAGAAAGGTTGCAAGAGCCTGACGAGGGGAAAACTTGCTCACGCCTCATTGACTAGCTTCTCATCTCACTTGTCTGCAGACTAAATCCAGGCTTGCAGCCTTTTAAAACATGCATTTCAGACTCAACCAAGAAAATTCTGCGTCACTAGTTTTATCTCATTTACTTAAATAGCGGAAATATGCAGCCATCGCGTGCTGGTGGAAGAAAAGATCCGTCCGTCAACGGTTGGGCTGGGGCTCTTCTTCTCTCTCGGCAAGCCTGGCGTGGGTATAGCAAAGGCCAGTAATTGTCTCGCAGAATAAGCATTGCGGACATTGAGGGTTCCCACGCCAAGAAGCATGAAAGTACATACTTGGGTGAGAAAAATCCACGATACGAGTTCTCTCTTTTCCCGGCGCCCATATAACCAGGTTGCCATCGCATAGGGGATCACCACGGTATCCATCCTGAATCCCCGGCGGACGATCTGATCTGCCGTGAAGCCTGAGGCACCCCTGTTTATTTTCCAAGGTAGCTGCCTAACGTGTCGTGTACGAATACAGTAATTGTTAAGGTAGTTCAGGTTGACTGTGCCTTTTTCTGTAGGTCCCGGCTGTCTTCTAAATCTCCTTGGCGGCACACAACTTATGCAATGAAAGTACCCAAGCATGACAACTCCTTTGTATAGGCTGATGCCTCTAAGCCCTCATGTGCAGGCTCTACAACAAGATGCAACGACAGAAGTTTTGACTCTCTTTCCCGTTGAGAAGAAAGAAGGGTTATTGACTTATGGTTTACCCAAGTCATGTGGACTACTGTGTGAGGCTTTGTTACAAGATCTGGTAATATTTGCCCTTCCGTTATTCTTGTTCTTGGAGTAACTTAAACCCCTGGTTTCATCACATGTTAATGCTTTGTAGGAAGAGGATCTCAAGTCGTGGGCTAGAGGGTTTGGAATGGTCATTAAAGATCTCAAAATGCCTGAAATTAGCCCCCAGGCTTTTCGTCTCGAAAAAGGCAACACTTCGACATTGCTAAAAGGGTATACTGCAATTGTCGTGGCCCTCGGAAACACAAAATACGATGTTGAGCTCGTTTCCAGAGACAAACGGTCTTCGCAGAAGGAGACATGGGAACCAACATCTGCCCTTCATCTCCGGGAAACGGGGCTGAAAGCTCAAGGAGGACACATAAGGTTCCTCTACATCCCTCTCCACCTGGAACCCATATAGACTTTCCGACAAACGACAAGTTCTATTTCATGATGTGTATCATATCATGTTCCATATCCGCGCTCGAAACGACACTCCAGGTGCTGTCTGGGCTGCCCGTCGACCTCGCCTTCGACTTCGTCTGTGACTTCGATCTCGCCTTGGCCTTCGCACCGCCTGGCTCTAGAGCCTTTTCGATCTGTTGTAGACTGCCGATTGTGAGTCCAGGAATCGACACAGGAGTGACGTGACACCGTCACCTACCTAACCTTCCCGTCACAGAGTTCATAGACGAGACTTGGGATTCGGAGTAACTCTGAGGGCAGTTTGTTGTTTGGACGATGCGCAAAAGCAGACTCTCTGCGCAGTATCGGGAAGCATTCGACGGTAAAGTGCTGGCCAAAAGTAAAATACGAGTTTACTAGTTTGTACGTTGTGAGAACAAAGACTCTTGTATCAAATAAATCGAGCGGGAGCTCAAGACAGCCTACCTCTCAATGGGAGCTCATATGCCCGCGGTCCCAGTACTTTAGCAAGTTCATCGCCAATCTGTACACACTTGGGCAGTGCAAATCGCTTGGATCTAAGAGTATCACTGCCTCCAGTAACGCACTTAGCCATGGCATCCATAACATCGTTTATGGTAAGGCCCTGATCATGAGCCACGTGACAGGCTGCGACCATTACCATGCAGTGAAGCTGAGTTTCTCGTCCCTCAAAGTCTTTGGAAGCAGCGGCATAGGTCTCGAGTAGAGTGAGCCAGTCCATGTCCCGACGCGACTCAACGTGAGAGATGGTCAGACGATCACGCAGACGGAGAATGTCTTCTAGTGTCGAAGGTTTGTTGTTGTCCCAATCCTCATCCCCTTGAGGTAACTTCGACATCCACGCCTTAACCCATTTTATCTGATCATTCAGACCCCTTCTTCGGACGGGCTTCTGGGGGACTGGCTTTCCGGGTTCTTCTTTGATAAATTCGGCGGTAAAACTTGGCGACTGTGAAGAACTCATGATGAACGGATCCGCTAGAATTCTTCTAGATCCAGGAACCCGGATAATGGAGCATCCATGAATATCATGAAGAACCGCAGGTTGGGTTCCCCAATGTGTCAGACAGCGGACTGGTTGGCCTATATGGGGGGCTTCCAGCGGGCAGCCGATTGTGCCGCCGAATTTTTGACTTGAGCTCAAGGAAGATTGCGTCCGCCAGGATTCTCATCTGTCGGGTGCATTTGAGCCACACCTCGCCTTACTTCACGCCCTGGTGCTGCTGCTCCTCGGAGGTGGGAGAGTGGGAGAGTGGGAGAGTGTCGGGTTCATCGGCAGGCATCAGGAGCACAAGAAAGAAAAGCTGGGTCTGTCTCTGTATTTTGCAGGGTCCGTTAACAAAGAAACCGAAGCCATTGTGTCATTCCCACTGGAGAGGTGACAGTGGCGTCTGGTCATAGGTCATTAATGGGGTGCACCCAGACAAACCGAATCGTCCAATGCCACGTCCTTCTCTTCAGCCTTGCAAGAGCTTTCCAACTCTGGACAGCTTCGGATGAGGGCCAGTTATGTTATTAATGTGAATGTGATTCTGATTTGCATAAACTCCCCTCGTAGATCAGCGAATATGATGCCCCTCTTCCCAGTCTGCGCAGCCTGGTAGCCCATGTAGTCAAGTGGGACAAGGTTCTTCATTGGCTACGAACCATCTCAACCGGATAATTTCATGATTGAAAAGGATTTTCTTCCCAAGTCCCCAACGGATAGAGACCTTCCTTGGCTGGGCCATCGGTCGATAGCGTATTACGCCAGGACCAGCCTACCAGTGAGCCGACAAAAAAGACAAGGGAGAAGTGACAAGAGCAAACTTCCGCAGACCAAGCTTACGCCGTACCTGCAAGCTGCTGTATGTACCATGCCTCCGATGGAGACCTGGTCTGCCGGGGCAAGGGGAGTTGCTGTTCCGCAAGCTCCTCGCAGTTCCAAAAACTCGGGCTAGCGAATGGTATCAACCCGGATTTAACCCCTAGATCTACGGTGAGGAGCGCTTGTGGCCGGACTAGGGCCTTTGGCCTGGAGCTTGTTAGCGTCGAAAAAGATATGTGGGCTTGCAGAAGCCAGAGGGCTTGTTTCAACGGCCTGACAAGAGGAGTGCGGCTACAACTCAGAGTCTAGCGCTGTTGATCTAGCTGTTCAGGTTGCCAAGTTCCGCAGCTGACGAGGGTCTCGGCAGCCTCATCCTCCCTCATGCTGGCGGATGGCGAGCTGCTTGAAGCCGCTGCACCCTGAACTGTCGCTTGCCAGTCCTCCGTGTGTCGTTTAGAACTTTTTTACGTCGCTGGATGATGATCCTTCCGCAAGCAAACAACCTCAAAAGCAACGTGGGCATGGGTGGGTGGGTATGGTGTGGTGGGGTCTCGATGAGTTCGGTTGCGCGTGGGGTTTTCTGTTGGAATATTATGTCAGCCGCGCGCGTGTCGTGAGTGTGGCTGCAGCATGATTGTGGCGCACAATCGTGGCACAGATAAATCTGCCAAGCATGATAAGAAACGGCTGACGTTTATCAGGGACAGACGCAAAACACCCCTGAAAAAAAGCATGTGGACCCGCTCATGCTTAATCTCACCTAAAGTTGAGGACAGCTTGGACTGTCGCAAAACCTCATGAACTTTACCCTTCCAGTCATTCTTTTGCCGCTGTCGCTTGGTACTCATTCTTCTGCGCTCCTGAGCGCATCTCGTTGTTCAAAAAGCCTGTGACGTTCGCTCGATGGCGGTTCGCTCCAATGGACGGTGATCCGGCTGTTGACCCGGGGCTTGACTCCTTCAGCTTGGCTTTTCCTTTGCCTTACCGTGTTGGCTTTATTGCAACTTTGGGTGAGCAAGAATCCTATTCTGGTCACATTGCCTGTTTCTAACTGATGATAGCTGTCTGGGGATGGGGATTAAACCTTCATTGTCTCCATCTTTTCAACGTCGACGTTCCACAGTTGATTCGATATCCCGGTCGAGCATCGCCGCAACATATTCCGCACCATGGCTCGACGTACCGCCTCGCGATTGCACTTTCGGCGTTGTTCGCATTATCGGTGTCTCTCTTTTGGGTTTGCACATGGGGCATACCTGAGCGTGTCGTTGCATTCGGATGGATGCCGTTGACATATCTCACTGCTTTGATTGCTATGTTCGTTGTTCCATTGAGGAATCTGCCCAGCGGAGGAAGAAGAAGATTCTTGGCAACTTTGCGACGCGTGAGCTTGGGTGGGCTTGCTGAGCCGCAGGACGGCAAGTTTGGAGATATTCTGTTGGCGGATGTGTTGACATCGTACGCGAAGGTTTTTGGAGATCTCTTCATTACCCTATGCATGTTCTTCTCGGCGGAAGGTTCGTCTACGCAGCGACCTGATCGCAATTGTGGAGGAACAGTGCTCGTACCATTCATTATGGGAGTGCCGAGCTTAATACGATTTCGACAGTGCTTGATCGAGTACTTTCGAGTTCGGCGAGCCCCATACAAAGAGTCCACAGGATGGGGTGGCCAGCATTTGGCCAACGCTCTCAAATATTCGACTGCGTTCCCCGTGCTCATTACCAGTGCTTGGCAAAGGTCGACAGAAGACCCCGACTCCAAAGCAGCTCTTCACAAGGCTTGGCTTGTTGCTGTACTCATCAACTCTCTGTACTCTTTCTATTGGGATGTGGCCAAGGATTGGGACATGACGCTTTTTTCTCCGAAGCAAGATCGCGAATCACCCACTCATCCTTTTGGACTTCGAGATCGTCTTGTTTTTAGGTATCCTAACCTCTACTATCTAGTGATCAGTATGGATCTGATGTTGAGATGCACATGGTCCATGAAGCTCAATGGACGTCTTGATAGGTTCAGCGATCTAGAGGGAGGCATCTTTCTGACTGAATTCCTCGAAGTATTCCGTCGATGGGTATGGATCTTCTTCCGTGTCGAGACAGAATGGTTGAGAAACAACTCTTCAGGCCTTGGAGTCGACGATATCCTACTTGGAGATTATCAAGGCAAAGACAATGAGGACGATTAATTGCGTCATCAACGAAATTACTTGGGGACCAATGACAACCCAAACGGCGGCCAGCCCTGTCAACTGGGGCGGGCTGTATAGAAATTACGGCTTTCACTGAGATACTCGACCACGCCTCTGGACCAAGATTTGGACGCTTTCCCCTAATCCTATGCTCCTCACCAAGTCAACATTCCTCACTGAGGCTTTGTGCTGGGCCAGATACCCTAATAAATCAGGGTTTGGCCGGCAAAGGCTTGAGTTGCCACGAGGCCATTCCCGGTAACTGGGAAAGTTTACAGATTCATGATTATGACCTGACGATCTTACTATCATAGCCCAGATGGCTCGTCCCGCGTCTACTTGTGATAGCTTTACCCCTCCTGGACGAAGGTTCGGTCTAATTACAAATATAGCTATATCAAACGAATTTAAGACAAATTGGAACTCCGTGAAAGTTGACGATGCTTCCAGAAACACATAATGTTACAATGTGGTGAATCTTGGAGGTACCGGCATCGTGGGCGCGTGTGATGGCGCCCTCTGACTTCTAGCGACTACTTTACAGCGTCGTTTCTTTTTCTTGCCTTGTTTGTGGGCATGGCCACACGGCTTCTAACGATAATGGCTTTTTGCAGTGTGCGTGCTTCTCAGGCCGCCACATCCAGATGCAGAAGATGCTTTGAGATCTTCGTTCACTTAACCGAAAAGGAAGATGAAAAGACCGACTCTTTCCTTTGTGAGCACTTCGCGAGGCTTGGGCGGTCAGTCTTCGCAATCAAGACACTTGGAAGGGAAAAGCTTGCTGGAATGCTACTCACGGTCTTGGCCAATATGTGTCGCTCGACTTACTGAGCCTAGACTCAAGCCTCCCGCCACAACCCGCTAAATCCCAGGTGACTCCGGAGGGAAATGGGATTCTATAGGCTTGATCACGTCGCCGGACTATGACGGCTCAAACTCACAATTGCCTGGAGAAACTCTTAAGATGTAGTTGGCGACTCAAGGCTACGCAAAACGAGGCTTTTCCTCCGTCTCGCATTATCAACACTTGCTTTGCTTGTGCTTCCTTCGAATTCAACAACACAGTAATTTCAACGACATCGACCTCTCAAGGTGATATCAAAGGATAGGCAGTTCTTTTGGAGGGGGTCAGCTCGAAGTTTGCAGTACTTATCCAAGACAAAGGGAACCGTGCGCTTTCAAGGTTAGATCGGGGACCAGCTTCTGTCGTTCGCGGGACCGCCATTGGCAGCACAGGGTTGCAAGCCGACAAGTCGTCCTGCATGCAGGGCCCTGACCCTGCGATATCCTGACGCGGCCGACTTACACAGCAAACGACAAGATCGGGCCATCGACAAGTGCGGACAATCCACCAAGATGACAAGTTGCACACGCCCAGTGAGCAGTATCGAACTCGTACTGCCACCTCAAAATGCATACCTTTATCGCAATAGGCCTTTGCCCCTACCTCCAACGACACTATCCAGGACTTCATCAAAGGCGAAACCACCACCAAGATTCAGTGCTTTCCCACAAACATTGGGCCCAGGAAATGATCCTAAAGCATTACCCCAACAACCCCCTGTGATTGTTCCCAAGGCTTTAACAAGACAAAGGGCGTCGCGTATGAGTATATCGGGCACTACTTCACTCCGTGAACGAAGATCATCTCAGAAAATTCAACAGATTACGGGCCACGACGTTGGACCTGGTATTGATTGGACGTCCGCTATATCTCGACCTCAGTATTCACCTTCCATTTCACCCAAATCAATGCGAGACGACTCGTCGAGTGGTTACGGCATCTCTTTGGACGAACCCATATTTGATGATGAGCCTACACCACTCGCAGACTATCAGCCAAGATCTTCTGACAGCAGCATGCCTCCTCTCGAGCCAGACTGTGATAGCGTGTTGAGTAATCACAGCTATACATCTCCGGAATCACCCAAAGCCCAAAGAGGATCTGTTTCACTACATATGGCTAAGACAAAGCGTCTGAGTAGTGCAACATCAACAATGGCAGCATTAGAACCAGTTTCCAACCTAGAAGACCCCTTCAATGAAGATGTTAATTGGCAAGCCGGGTCATGCTACAACTACTTCAGCGACCTCGAAACAGCGGATGAGTATCATCGCATTGCCACCAGATTGGCCAACAACGACAAACGGCAATCTATATACGGTACTTCTTCTCTTACACGATCCCGCACCTCGCTCAGTCGACGTCTCAGTGTTGGAGCAAGATCCCTCTTTACGCGAAGGAAAGACTCGGCTTTGTCCGCGAGCTCTAGCCGAGCATCGCTAACGGCCGCCAGCTATCCTACAAAGGGGCCCTACTCACCTTCAATACCTCCTTCATCAGAAACTGGGAGTGTTGTTTCTCCACCGCGTAGTACGTTTGAGATCGATGACGAAGACGAGCTTTATGCAGATGATGGCAGTATGAGGGACGTCGTCAAGGATTTCTTGGCGCGGAGAAGTGAGGAGCGCAACTCGATGGAACTAGGAATACCTCGTTCTATACCACAGTTTTCAGAGAAGTCACCAGAACACAAGTCTTTGTCAAGAACAGGAGTGCAGGTCAAGGACCTGATCTCAAATGCGCGTGATGGAGCGAGGTTGATTCAAGCAAGAGGTGAGAGGAGAAGAACTCAGCTCAGGACTCAGATCAAGATGATTCCAGAGGAAGAGGTTGGACGTTGAGTCATAATTATAAGGAAGACATGGCACTTACTGAACGAAGTCTTGCTTGGTATTGCATTTGAGCGTGGCGTGTCGTATTAAACAAGATTCCCCCAAAATGGTATTCGATTAATGCAACTACTTTATATGACTTGCACTAGATCTGAGAGCAAAGTGAAATCGGCACGAACGATGATCTGCAAGGCCCAAGCTATTCGGCAGCAGACCCTGGCTATTTCTTATACTACCTCTTTTTTGCCTTGACGATTCAGAAGAGATCATATGAACTAATTGTTCAATATGTCTATATAATGCAACATTCATATAAACTCAGGCTAAGCTTGTACCTTGTTTGCATTGGATTAGTTTGTCTTGGGTTCAGAATTAGAGCCCCAACTTATATGATATTAATCCGCAACATATGTTGATAATGATAGGTTTGATTAATTAATTTAAGCTTGTGGGAATATTCTGGCAAGTGATGCAGCTGTCGAGCAAGCTGGGTTAATCTTCAATCGTTTGTCGAGAACAATAGATCGTATGTGATGGTTTCACTCTTATTCTCGTCGCTCACATTGAAATGACATAGCCTTACTTCGCTGTTGTTGTTACTAAAATATGTGTTTCTTTCCTCCATGCCTAGCCTATCAATCCTAACGAGTACCGTAATACGTCTTGTCTCTGTTTTCCATACCCATTGACTTATTGGTTGTCTTCCGAGCCCCGCCCCCCGCAGATTCAGATCCTCAAGATCCGGAGCCGGAGCGGCTTCCTGACCGAGGCAACTTTTAGTTTACTTATCCCTTCCATCCCAAGGCTCAACCTTTAGACTAACAACTGTTTAACCAAAAAAGAATACATTCTTATAATAAGCCGTCACCTAGGAAGCAGGTTCAGTGACTGAGCTTGTCCTCTCTGGGCGATTAGAGTTTCGGCCCTCGTTGATCACTCATCATGATCTACGATACAGGAGCCTCTATCAATAACGAGACCTCAACTGAGACACAGACTGGAAGCCACAGCATCACCGACGCTGACGTGGTTGAGGCGCTACAGAAGGGCATCCGCGAAGCTACCAGGGAGGAGCTGATCAATCACGGAGAGGCGTCGCTGTATTATGACTCTCTGACCATGTCGCCCTTGAACGCAATGTCCGCTGTGAGTTGAGTTGAGTTGTTCACCTGTGCTCTGCTTGTCATCCGCATATCTCACATCTTGCTGCTTTTCAATGCGTCTCTTGAGCGACTCTTCACATATATACTGCCGATTGCTGACCAACATCATATCTCGCAAGGCCGCTATTGCTCGTTTCCGTGCATACAAGCCCCCTCCATTCCCACTATGGGATCGTCTACCCGTTCGGAGGCGGGCAGCAGTCTTAGTACTACTGTATGCTGACCGTCGCGGCGATTTACGTGTGGTTATCACCATGCGCGCTGCAAGTCTGAGGAACTTTTCTGGCCATGCTGCCTTTCCCGGGGGCAAGGCAGATGATCTTGAAGAGACACCATGTAAGGCGTTGTTCTCAAGTGCCGTTATTCCTTATTAATTCTGTTGCACAGTCCAAATCGCCCGCCGAGAAGCTTGGGAAGAAATTGGACTTCCCATGGATGATAGCAAACTTCCAAAACCCTTCCGCGTCGAGCATCTTTGCTATCTACCCCCTTCCTTAGCTCGGACACACCTCGTCGTGAGACCATGTGTTGCATTTCTCCATGCGGACCAGCGCACAGCAGGAGAACCGGCACCGACTGTTGAGGAAACTATGATTCCTAGACTTGATGCTCGCGAAGTCGCTGCCGTCTTCAGTGCGCCCTTTTACAATTTCCTCCATGCGCAGGATCTCCCTCCCGCCCCGGGTGAGACGCTGCCTGAAGGACAATGGTACGATGGCTTCTGGAATCACTGGAAAGATCACCCCTGGCGGGTGCACAACTTTTACGTCCCAGTCAACAACCAAAGCATCTCGAAGCCGCGGCGGGATAGCGAGCAAAGCCGTTTGGTTGACAAGCTAGAAAAAGAAGAGGAACCAGATGGGAGATTCAAGGTCTGGGGAATGACGGCGCGCATATTGGTGGACGCAGCGAGAATTGCATATGCACAGGAGCCTGGATTTGAGCATAATGACAGTTTTGGCGATGAGGAGATCATTGCCCATGCGGATAGCTTGGGGGACCTGGGGGACAAACTTCCAGAGAAGCGGACTGAACCTGGCGATGCGTCAAAGATGTAGAGATTCTGAAGGCATGTGGATAGAAATAGAAACAAGATCTATGAACGTTAAGTCCGATACTGCTAAGAGGCTTAGAGAGAGGCAAAGAGTACTGAACATTGATACTGGTGGATTATGATGAAAAGTGTCAAGCTTTAGGTTTCCATTTGCAATAATTTAGACTTCGCGTGTCCTTTGGGTTCGCCATGGCCGTTTCATAAACGTTCAGCCCCTCTAATGACATGCGTTATCCTTGGTAGCAGAAGTTCGCTTTCCGAAGAATAGATATCCAAGAAATGCGCCAAGAGAAACAGCAATCATAACCCAGCCGTTGTATGTCATGAAAATGAGCCTTGTTTTATTAGAATTGTGAGCTATTAACAACGGCAGTAGGCTCGGCTACTCACATGAGCATGAATGCATAAAAGTTCTGTAGGCCATATAAAACAGCCTTGATGAGGTGGGCACGCTGATCGGCTTGTCCTTGGGATTGTCCTGCAAGGATGGGAGTCGACTCAGTAACGGGAACATCAAGACCTCACGGGAAGACTTAGCAGGGCAATTTCCCCCAAAGAGTAACACAGACAAGGCAAGGAGATACAAAGCAACATTCTGGTTTTGTTCTTGGGGTTCCTCAGAGAGGAAATGTATTTATGCGGTCTTGGAGGGGAGAGGAGGAGCTTACTGGGTGCGGCTCGGACGCGATTATCGAGGGCTTCTTCGTACTGTCGCGAGAGGGAACGGAGAGCTTCGTAGCCGACGGCGAGGAAAATTACAGCGACGAGAGAGAAGAAGAGGGAGGTTGTCGAGCGAACGTGCCATTGGCGGAAGACGATGCAGAGATTGGTGGTGTCCCAAGTGAACAGCATCTACGATGATCAGTATTTGTACATATGGATAGGAGGAGATAACACCATACGTTCATGCTGCACATATCCTTCATGCCTCCTCCGTGGCCATGGTCCATATCTCCGTGGTCCATTCCACTGTGGCTCATGCCGCTGTGATCCATATGTGCGTGATCCATTATCGTGTTATCGTGATTTTTGTTCGTTTGATCGCTATGAGTAGGTATGTTGTAGTTGAGTCAGAAGTTTCCAAGAGGTGGTCTAGTGTATTGATATAGAGCTGCTGGAATTCATGAAACCAGCTCAAACGTGCGCAGGATCAGGCGGACCCCTTCAGATGGTGGTTATAGGTCGGTCGATAACGATAGCAAGGGAGTGGTGGGTGGAATGACGCGACAGGCGAGGTACTTTGTTTGATGCAGTAAAACGTGCGACGACCAAAGTACAGTGTCTCGGCTAGGTACTATTGTAGAGGGGGGGGGTCGTTCCGACGGCCCCTTCGTCTTCTGTACCTTTCCCGACGACTAACAAGAACCAACTGCCGCGGAACTGCGGGGAGCCCTACCACGGCTATTTCATCATTTATTGGTAATTATCAGTATATAATATACTTCTCTTCTATTATCCTGAGTACTAGGTATCTTCTTGTAAAGTCTCGTTTTATGTAATTGGTTGAAGTCAGCCTCTCCCGTGACATCCGCAACCACTTTACTTACAAATTATCCGCAGTTGACGCCCCTCACTCTTATCAATCTTTGACTTCAACTATACCTTAGCATTTCCACTGTCCACTATATTGGTTTCTCATCTTTACTTATAATTCTATCTCCATACGCGGACATACGAGTAGCCATCTCAATCATGCTTGGGCCACCAGTCAACCTTCCGAAATGGTGAGTAATCTCTTTGACTCTATACAATTCGAAACAGAATATGGAGCAGACTCACTAATCGACCCATTATGAGTACAACAGGCTTGAAGAAAACTCCCATCTACTACAGCCCCCTATCAACAATTACTGTGTCTACAATGAAGACTTCAGTGTCATGGTAACTCACGCTTTGCAAATACTCTTATACTTCACGTTGAGAACATGGCTAACAATTGTCATCAGATCGTTGGTGGTCCAAATGCCCGCACTGACTACCACATCAATCAAACTCCCGAGTGGTTCTACCAATACAAAGGTGCAATGATGCTCAAAGTCGTCGACGAGGGGGAATTCCGTGACATCATCATCCGTGAAGGTGATATGTTTCTCTTACCTGGAAACACACCGCACAACCCAGTCCGCTTCGCGAACACGGTTGGAGTCGTCCTAGAGCAGCGTCGTCCAAAGGACTCACTCGATCGTATGCGTTGGTACTGCGGTGACTGTGGTGAGATTGTTCACGAGGCCGCATTTCATTGCACCGACCTTGGCACTCAAATTAAAGTGGCGGTTCAAGACTTTAAGAGCAGTGAGGACAAGAGGACTTGTTCCAAGTGTGGTACTATGGCTGATGCGGCACCGAAGCCGGGCACTATTCAGGATCCTAATCTGGCGTGATCCATCAAAATGTAGCAAAAGTTTGTATCAAAAGGTCAAAGAGGCGGCGCATGGGTATGAAATGTGGTGATGTAGTAGTAGTTGCAGAAAAATACCTCTCATGTCTTGATATTCTACACACTCATGTCGAAAGTTCTTACTAAGATACAACTCACTTAAACTTGTTCATCTTTAGGTCTCGGCAAAACTATATGAGCTTGGCGATTCCTCCACGGGGATCTCAATGGCACCCTCCTCCAACTCCTTTCCGTCAATCCTCACACCCGCTCGAACAACATCACCCGGCACGGCAGGACCAACGCCGGCAGGTGTACCAGTAAGGACAATATCGCCGGGGTGGAGAGTCATAACCTTGGAGATGTCGCTCAAGATACGAGGGATCTGGTAGATCATGAGGTTGGTTGAGCCCTGTTGCTTGGTCTCGCCGTTGAGCTGGAGGAAGAGCTCAACATTGTGAGGGTCCTTAATGGCAGTCTTGGGGATAATGTTGCTCAGAGGCAAGAAAGTATCGAAACCTTTGGCGATGTCCCATGGGAGACCCTTCTTCTTGGCCTCATTCTGGGCGTTGCGGGCGGTGAAGTCAATGGCGATAGCGTAAGCTGGAGATGGTCAGCCTTTCATAATTCGTGATAGTCCCACTGCTTGACGCACCTTTGATAGCATCAAGAGCTCCCTGGGTATCAGAGGCCTGAAGATCTCGGGTGAGCTTTCCAATTACGAGAGCCAACTCAACCTCATAATGCATGTCAATGCCCTTGGGCCTCAGGACGGGACCCTCGCCTGGTAGGACAATGGAAGACGTAGGTTTCAGGAAGAAGAAGGGCTGCTTGGGTTTGGTGTTGTTCAGCTCAGCAATGTGCTCCCTAAGAGATAGCCATCAGTTTATGTCATAGTGGTTGAGCTATGGGTGAACATACGCAAAGTTGCGGCCGATGCAGACAACCTTGCCGGCCTGCTTGAGGCTAGACGTAGCCTGAGGGGCCATAGTAGCCATTGTGCGTCTCAGAGCGAACATGATGGTTACGAATGATGATTACAAGAAGAATTTTATCAGTTATAACACTCATTCACTGGCTCAATGGCGAAATAGCTGTAAGCTTAAGCAACCGGTTTCGGAACTGCTCCCCCGATGGAGAAGCTTCGGTCGGAGATGAGTCCCGGTAATCGAGTCACGGGGTATCTTTGGACGAAGTCAATACATCAATTCCGATCTACCCTGCGCCGACTTCGCAATATTATCAAAGGAGACCATGATTCAATAGTTTCTCCTTCATCGGTTTGCTTTCCGATCATTAAGTATCCTCGACTATTTCTGGTCTAGTTCAATTGTGCAGCCAAAGCATCACCTTGCTTTCATTAATATAGAATCTTCGTTTCCACATCAAAGATAGGTACATTTGTTGTGACCATATCTAAACTACCAGAAACCCTCGTACATAATACGGACTCTATCTCACGATGTAAAAAGGAATCGACTTCTCTTCTATTGTAAATATGCAAACAGTATTCTGCCTGCTCGTAATACCTTATGTACTCTTCCTTCTCATCTCCTTTCGTCTGCTCTTTTAATTCCTCTACCTCTCCGTAATACTCTTGTTAGTATATGCGTCCCATCATACCACTCGCTTTCCTTGTTTGCCTCTTGCTTGAAATGGAGATTGTATCAGGAAGTATAAATCCGACTAAATGGTAGGCTATATTCTACCTGTCTACAATACTTTGATAGTCTGAGCGTTACTTGCGCATATATGACTTGAGAAAGATCAGTGGGTAGTTCATAGGCACCGTAAGTTACCGTGTTCAATTCCAATCAGCCAAGCCATTCCCAAATATACAGGCCTCCCGCAGAAAATGTCTTGGGAAATAGGATCATTTACATGAAGATTTGGGGCAAACAAGTTCAGGACAGTCTTCATGATCGAATCCGCGTGTCATGTAAGAACCGACAGCAGCATAGTAGGCGAGCAATTGGCATACCCCTTCACGTCTAGTCAGGCAATGGCATGTCACCTGTCTTCGTAATAAATCGACTACCAAGATCTAGGCTAAAGGTAAGGAGCAAGAGGTGCTAGACAAATGACGTTATCAATTTTTTGTAATAACGGGGATATAATACTACCAAATCTATACTTTTGCCCTTATGTACATATAATCAGTCATCCAATTAAGCAACGTGAACGAATGTTCTCTTCTTAGCATTCCTCTCATCACTCTCCTCCTCCCAATTCTCATCCACATAGTCCTTGATGCTTTTGTCACGAATCTGCATACCCACAACCTTAAGGGCTGCAATGTTAACTCCCATCTCATCCTTCTGGCGCTTGAGAGAAGCACGGAGGTTCACACGGATGCCGTCAAGCATAGCCTTCATGGTGCGGCTGGCAACAATCTGCTTATGGTGCGTTTTCAGCATGAAGAAAAGGATGCGACATGTCAAGGGCATGTTCATGGATCGCATCGCGAAAATGTTAAGGAAAGTGAAGAGGATGGGAACGGAGGCAAAGGGGAGTACCAGCAGTGCATCGTGCAGCGCCGAAGCCTTGATCTTTTGTAAAACAGAGAGGACATAAGCCTCGGCGGTGATGTTTCCGAGGGCAAGGAAGACGGGGTTCCGTTGAGGAGGTTGGGCATGAGGGTTTGTGAGTTTGGCTTCCTCGTACTCTCTGAGTAGGTTGAGATCGGCCATGCCCATCTCGAGAGCTTCTGCTATCCTCTCACCAGCCATAAGAGTCTCTGTGGTCTGCTTGCTTGCCGCAGCAACCTCATTATTCTCATCTTGAGCGTCAGGGTCTCGCTCCAGTGATGTCGTAAGAGTGCTCTCGTATAGTTCCTCAATCTCCTTCTCGCGCTCTTCCTCGAGGAAAATCTGCTCCTCTGTTTCATCCCAGACTCGGATGCTCTTATCATGGCCGGCACTAACCAAGAGGTCGCCGCTATGGGCAACGGCAATAGCCCACACCTCGCCATGGTGACCATCCAGTCTCTGGATCTGCTCGAATTTATCACCATCCCAATATCGGATTGTGCGATCCTTGCTGCTGCTGAAGAAATGGTGGCCGTTGCCGTCGTTGTTGTGAGGTACGAAGGCGACCTGAAGGATACTGTCCTGGTGCCCGAAGAGAGCTTTGTGGCAGTCACCGAAATCAAGACCCCATATTCTGATGTTCTTGTCGGCTGAACTTGTGACGATCAACTTGCTGTCAAATGAGATATCCATGCTAAGAACAGGAAGTTTGTGACCATAAAGATTAAGGTAGAGTTTGAGGGAGTCAACGAAGAAAACCTTGACCGTGTTATCGAGGAGGGCAACAGCGATGAGTCGAGCATCTGGTGAGAACTTGAGGCTCAGAATATCGTCAGAAACCTTGAGTGTTCTCGACTGTTGCAGCTTGAGCTTTGGTGTTGTTCTTCTTGTACCGAGCACTTCCTCCTGTACGATCTTGAAATCCCAGAACTTGGCTGTCTTGTCAGCACTGCCCGAGACGACGGACTGGCCATCAGGGTGGACGTTGAGAGACCAGATGGCACCCTCGTGAGCATCGACACTATCAAGCAGTGCAGCCGAGGCCACATCAAAGAGCTGCAGTTCACCACTCTTGGTGCCAACCACAACGACTTTGTCTCCTGGGAGAAAAGAACAGCAGAGCGCATAGCCGCACTCGAATGTCCGAATGCAGTTCTGTGTCTTTATGTTCCAGATCTTCAAGCTACCATTCGATGCAGATGCCAGCATCTTGTCATCCGAGCTCAGTGATAGCGCCCTGATATCTGTTCGGTGACCGGGGAGTTCAACGGATAGCGCTCTCGTATAATCAGGGACGTCGTCCTTCTTTGACTTTTCGCTCTTCTCCTTAGATGGTAGGCTGTAATACTCGAGCAGGTTGTTTGTGGTTCCTACCAGCAGGTGAAGATCCTTTTGTCCGCTAGGGAGGGCCCAGTCAACAGAGCGCACCTTGCCTCCTGTTCGTACAATGACATATTGAACAAAGACGTCGCTAATGTCTGCCTTTGAAACATCCACTGGCTCCTCTGCATTGGTCTCCTCCTCAACGATCCTCCCATCCTTCGCCTTCTCTCGACGTCTTCTTCGCTTACGAGCCAGTGCTTTTTTTATTTCGGCCTCGGACCGTATTCTCCACACATCAACACCCTTTTCTGAGCCATGAACTGCAAAGTAATCTTTCTTTGGGTGGAAGATAACTTCGGTTGTCCTGTCCTTACTCTGTCGATGTAATGTTCCGCGATCCTGAAGATATTGGACTGCAGCAGGTGTATCAACTTGACGGGCGCTCAATGCAAGGCCGTCGGCGTCCAACGACCAAACTTTGATCTCGCCGTCATTTCCGGCAGTGACACATCCACTGTAGTCTGGGGCCAACCCGAGAGCCCAGCACTCGCCGTTTGTCTGCGATATGTGTGTTTCTATGCAGTGCCTTGACGATAGATCCCACAGCTTGATGAGCGAATCTTTGCCAGTCGTTAATAAGAAGCCGTCGTGTGTTCCTTCACCATCAAGGACCATCGCGTGCGCACCGTCTTCATCCTGGACCTGAGGTTCTGGCTCAACAAAATGAAGGCCAGTCACTTGATCCTTGTGTCCTCGTAGCTTAAATTGGCCGACTTCCGCGACAAGATCCCAGATGATGATATCGGTGTCTTTGGAGCCGCTGGCAAGTCTGACACCAGACTTGTCGAAAACGAGTTTTGTGATTGCCGACTTATGACCATTGAAGTTGAGGATGACGGAGGAAATTTTGCTGTCCCATAATCGAATACTACCATCCTCGTATCCCACAGCGAAAACGTCCTTGTCGGATTTGCTTTGCGCAATGGCAGTCACGGGAATCGTGCATCTTTCATCTCTCCAGCGGTTTGTTATTTCGCCCTTCTTGATATCCCAGCAGAGAACCTCTTCATTCGCTGCGACGATCGCCTGTCCCGCGCTGGTTCCTGTTCGGTCTTTCGAGGACCATACTATGTTCGAGGTCGGCGAGGCGACGACGCCGAAGAACTTGCCATGCTCGTATTTCCTATTGAAATTTGAGTTAGATTGAGTCGCTAAGCATTTCTCATTAACTTACAAGTACGACTTCACCATTTTTGAGATGTTGCGACCAGAATTGGCCCTTCTTAAGCTTTTGTCTCTGACCAAAGATCCTAGAATCTTTCCTCTATCCCACGTACAGTAACTTAGAGGGAAATTTTCTTATCGATAAGGATGTTATCCACTTAGGAGCTCTTTGTCACGTGTCTGCTGGGAGCTTGAGGCTCACCACGTAAGCCCCACCACCCAGGCGTCACCTACTGTAGTATACCACCTAAGCTACGAGATAGTAAGGGGATAGCATACAAATCGACCAACAAGATGCTTCTGCTAGACTACCAAAATGTGCTTATTCAGTCGGTTCTGACGGAACGTTTCTCAGGGTAAGATTATGCATACCCAATTATCTCCAAAAATAAGAGCTCACAGGTTGTACGTCAGAGCCCCTCCCGCCTCTATTGACCAGACGGTCAGCGACTTTGATGGCGTTACGTTCCATATCTCGACACCCGAGTCTAAGACCCAGATCCTTCTTTCAATCCAAATACGATGTTTCCCCGACCTTGTCAAGTATGGAGCTGAGGAAGTTCTCCAGCGCGAGTATGGCGACTACATGACATCGGTTGAGCCGGGCTTCGACTTCTCTGTTCTTGTGGATTTGGAGAACCTCCCGGAATCAAAGGGTACAGCGATATGCTCTCCACAGTCAAGGCCGACAATGCTGACTATTGACCAGAGGAACGCAATGAGCTAGCACTCAAATTCGCTCTCCTGAAGCGCAACGCTATGGCCGCACCATTCGAGCAAGCTTACAAAGAGCATTACGCATTGAAGGAGGAGGCTTCCAAGTTTACCTCCGAAGAAGCTCCTCAGGGCGTTCGAGAGGGAGGCGAAGTTAAGGCAATTCACTACCGAGAGGAGGAGGCCATCTACGTCAAGGCCAGCCACGACCGAGTTACCGTCATCTTTAGCACCGTCTTTCGCGAAGAAACCGATCGAGTATTTGGAAAGGTGTTCATCCAAGAATTCGTCGACGCTCGAAGGAGAGCGATTCAAAATGCCCCCCAGGTCTTGTTCAGGAACGACGCCCCTCTCGAGCTACAGGGTGTCCCGGGGGTCCAAGACACTGGGTCTGGAGATATTGGTTATGTGACTTTTGGTAAGTTTTACCAGCTAATACCGCCAACATGATAACTAATTGAGCTGCAGTCCTCTTCCCTCGGCACCTAACTCCTCAGCGCATGACTGAGGTCATCTCTCACATTCAGACCTTCCGCGATTACTTCCATTATCATATCAAGGCTTCAAAAGCCTATATTCACTCGCGTATGCGAAAGCGAACTGCTGACTTCCTCCAAGGTAAATCATTTCCCCTACATCGGCGCATTTGGATAACTAACGGTGCTCAGTGCTGCGCCGTGCTCGCCCCGAGAACGAGGAGAAGGAGAGAAAGACTGCCAGCGGCAGAACTTTCAAGGTGCAAGGAAACTAAAACACTGCACCCCTAGTGGTGTCTGCTCTGACGTTGTTCAATAATTCAGTTAGTTGTTGAGCCTATAGATAGGGCGGTTAGTCGCGGGTAGTTGGTAGTTAAGCGAATGGTACTGTTAAAACTACAATTTGATTTCCACAACCAAGAACAATCAATTGATCAAAAAGCTGGGCAGAATATGAGCCTTCTACATACAGATATATTGCCAAGTTCCACATATTGGCACCTAATTGACGCGTTACTTGGCTTAGGCACCACCCCCCAATTAGCGGTGGGTAATCGAACTTCAAGGGTCCTTTAGATCGTGAGCAAGATCGCGCCGACACATGCCGACCTTTTTGATACACCATCAGCAAAGACGACCCTGGGGTCGCCACGACAATGATATGGCCGTTCGGATCGCGGGACGCCGACAAGGAGAAGGAGCAGAAACTTAAAGAAGAGGCAAAACGGCAGCATGTGTCATGGACCGACTCGATAAACCGCATTCGATCAGCACCTGTTGATGCAGCTAGAGAATGGGCGCCTGTTGTACTGTTCCCGCTCGCTGGCATGGCAGCTCTACAAATCTACGCAAATTATGTCCGCCGAATACCCGGATCAGCATATGTGCGCCCGAATTTCTTTCGTAACCGAAGCATCTTTGGCCGAGTTACCAGCGTCGGCGATGGTGATAACTTCCACCTCTTCCACACGCCTGGCGGTCGACTTTTGGGTTGGGGCTGGTTGAGAAAAGTTCCTGAAGCTCGCAAAGAGTTGAAAGACCGAACAGTATGTTTCCGATCCAAGTCACCCTATCGCCATACTGACAAAGCTTTGGCAGATTTCGATTCGTATTGCCGGCGTTGATGCCCCAGAATGTGCCCACTTCGGACGGCCAGCGCAACCGTTCTCGGCCGAAGCTCTCGCCTGGCTACGTAACTACATCAGCAAACGCAACGTCCGCGCATATGTCTACAGGCGAGATCAGTACGATCGAATCGTCGCGACTGTGTATACGCGGCGGTGGCTGTTTCGCAAGGACGTGGGTCTCGAGATGATAAAGGCCGGCATGGCAACGACGTACGAAGCCAAGCAAGGGGCTGAGTTTGGCGGACGACAAAAAATCTACGAAAGGGCTGAGGCGAAGGCGAAGCAGAAACGAAAGGGGATGTGGTCTGGCAAGTCCAAGGATTTCGAGAGCCCAAGAGCTTACAAGACGAAATGGGCTGGCGTTAACCAAGAAAAAACCGGCACTTGAAGATGCCGAGTATGAATTATGATAATTCTAAAACCATGGTTCGATTCGGGTTGCGTAGCATTTTAGACATACCCAAAAAGCATCCAATGTATTAAGAATGAACCAAAGTTTAAAATCAGTTGGGGTATCGGCATGCCAAATTTACCATGTCGATGTCTGGTTTATTTTTGGCGATATAAAAAGCTCATCATGCTGTCAGAACACTAGATTAGGGTAGTCAAACTGAGCAGAGTGTAGGATCAGCGGACATATAATTAGCTTCCATTGCCCTGGAAACATGCATTTACTTATCAATGCATTGAAAGAAACCTTGAACGCATTAGGAACGTTGAATAGTTCTGAGTCAATAGTTGTCTGACACGTTGGCGGACATTGACTTACCCGGCGCCAGAGGCAAGGAAAACGAAGTTGTGTTTTAAGCAAGGGGTGTGATCCAGAGTGGTTTCAGCTGATGAATTACTTTGTGGTGGTGTTGCAGAAAGTTGTCCATATGAGACAGAAGCAAGAAAACACAACTGCCATTGCTTCCGATTGTGTATCTGTAGCTCATCATCTAGTTTGCACGCTGCTCTACTGGGCTATTATTATGTCTCGTATAACGCTGCTTAGTGGGTAAAGCTGGATCGATTCATCAACATCCACAGCCCCACGACGGATTATTTCCAAGCTTCAGTTCAAGGCTACATAGCTCTATCAAAATGAAGGGAATATGAGTTTAAAATAGTCCCATCATGCTCAAGAGCCACTCACTCATTATCACCATACGCTAGGAATAATGCTTGACGAGAGGTATGGTGCCACACCCAAGAATCCTTGCCTTGTTACCAGCCTCCTGAGTTTAGCGCGACTAGAGGTAAAAAGTAAATGGAGCAGCAACAACGCTGCGCACCGCCTCTTAATGCTAGATTTTATTGTCTACCTAAGCAGTCTAGCCCATTGCTTCTTGCAAGCCATAGCTTGACAAGGGTTAGTACTTCAACGGTCAGAAGTCGAGATCAGGAATGGAAGACCAAAGGTCAGCAAATGATGCAGATAATGCAGCGGCAAACTCTTCATGCAAGCCCCTCCTGCAGAAGCAAGAATATCTCGTATTGAACAGCATCAGCGCCTGCGACATTTCCAAGATCCATTGTTATGAATTCCATGTGCGCCCGTGGTAGTTTCCTAGCAGGCTTGCGGCGCGAGAAACAGACGCTCCACTTATCCCCTGGAAGCCAAGGCGAACCTAAACGTGGGATCAACTCTTCCCTCTCTCCTAATTCTCACCTCATCCTCCGCGAGAATTCTTAGCATTAGAGCTTCTGTGAGAGGAGGGGATACTTATCTTTGCATCGCTTTGCCTTGCCTTGCCTTGCAAACTGTCACTCGTTAAACACTGTTTCTTCATCTTCTTCTTTCTATTGTTTGTATTTCCCAGCACAGCCACCGTGCTATTCCTAATACACCGCCCAGTCGACTCTACCATCAACATAACCGTTCAATAATTACTTCAACTGACACTACGGTATTCGCACTCATTAATACCGCTTCCTTTTCTTATCTCGACTTGCTTCCGGGTTTTTCGCCAAGCTGCAGCAATCCGGCATCTCCCAACCATCTTGTGTGGCCTAACTCTGCATTCCAGCCGTCGTCGACCCGGAGACACGATATCTGATTCCTCATTCTTCCCAACACGCCGCTCAAATACCTGACCGGAGAACACGGACGCGTATAGAACTGACGAGACACGCAATTAAAGAGGCATCCCGTCACCCCACATTTCCGAAGTTGACAGGACTTGCGAGAAACTCACTGTTCAACGAAAAACTGCAAAGTCAATTGATCATTACCGGTGACGAGATCACTTGATACAAGGACGAAGCTCGCCGATAATTAAACTCTGGGTTGCTCCTCTCAAGTTCATTGGTTCCTGAATCAGTACGGTGGCGCACTCTACTACCCGTGGCTGCGATACGTACCACAGTCGTACACCTTGAAACCGCTTGGTATGTCTTTTCTTACACTTCTTGGGTACAACATATGATACTGAATTGCTCTGGTTATGCAATTCATTTTCATATGGCCCTTGTCCGCTCTTTATTCTCACCACTCTATCCGTTACGACGCTGTTATTTCGGTTGATGATTTGTTGTTTGCCGTCATCCCACCCGATACCCATGCAAACCAAGTGCTTCAGGTACCGCATTACAGTAAAAATAGTGAACTAACCACATTAGGCTAGTGGCTAGATCCTCGAAATCCAATGCACGTCGAGAGAACGGGCATCGCCATCGCTAGCAATTTCCCGCATACGTGCTGCAGTAGCATTGCCTGTTGTTCAACTTGAATCTTTCAAACTACGACTTTCCACCTCGATTATATACATTCACCGACTCTTCTTCCCACAATCTCGACCACGGACAAACTCCACGACTACAGAGAGCCTAATTTCTCATTTTCGGGTTTTTAGTCAGACGATATCTCTCCTCGATTCGCATCACTCCCGCTCTCGACCGTTTGAAAACGCGATTCTTCGCCCCTTGATATGGCCCACACTTAATCCTGAGATGCAGGCACGAATAAATTCAATTCCGACGACCACGGCATTTGACTTCCCTGAGCAGGGACACGATACGGATTCAGAGGCCGGACACACCATTTTGATATTAGGTGACGATTTATAGTTATGCGATTACCTTTCCAACGGCGTAGCCCATCGGCACGCCAAAGCCACAGCCTAGGTCCCGTTCTGGGTCCCAGCCTGGCGGTTTTAGCAGCTCTGGCGCCATCTCTCACACATGCCATAACATTCAATCCTGTGCCGTCGCCAAATCTAGACTTCTCTAACCTGGGCAGGATCGGCATAGTTGGAGATTATGATGGAATTTCACTTTATGAATACGAGGGACAAAAAGAGAGCGCTCGTAGCTCCAACGGTAGCGAGTCACTTCTGGCACCGATGCCCAACGGCGCGTTCGCTTCGATATTATCCACCGATGCGTCGATTAGAGCCATGTGCTCGTTCCAGCTCAGTAACGGAGATATGCAAGGAGTGGTAATTGGCGGTAATTTCACGAGCCTGGACGGGACGCAGTCAAAGGCAGTTGCTCTCTTCAACCCAAACACGACCGAGATCACCCCTTTGGACGGAATTGAGGGCGAGGTCAACGCTCTATATTGCGACCAGGAACGAGACACGGTCTATGTGGGTGGCAATTTCAAAGGCGCCAACTCTACGAATGCCATTGCCTGGGTTGGTACGGATGGATGGACAAATTTGCCGTTTGCTGGCTTCAATGGCCCTGTAAAGGCCATCACAAAAGCTTCTAACGGACACATAATTTTCGGCGGAACCTTTACAGGTCTTGGAAACTCGAGTACGCCCAACGGCTCCTCAAGCCAGGTCATCAATCTATCGACAGCTAACATTACGGACGAAAATGGATCCTCTGGCTCCGATCCCAAGGACATCGTATGCCCCGGTTCTTCTTCGACTCCTTGGCTATTGCAAGACGACACGCCAGGGTTCTGGGAAGCGGATTTTTCTTTTGGGTTTGCGCCTACCAAGCTCAGACTTCGGAACACGCGCCAGGAGGGTCGTGGCACCAAGACCTTCCGCTTCCTTGCGTATCCTATCAACGGAATCATGAACTTAACCTACGTCGATCCTGAGAGTGGTAACAACGTCACCTGTACTAGCGAGTGCCCACTCCGCGACGATGAAGATTACCAGGATTTCACATTTGTCAACCGCGTCGGCATGAATAAGTTTCGCATTGCTATTTCCGATTGGTATGGCAGTGGAGGTGGTCTGGAGAGTATCGAGCTGTTCCAGAGCGACATCTTTGCCTATGCTATTACTGACTTCAACGAGCCCAAATGTGGTGGAGTTAAGAACCCAGCTTCGGCTACGCACACTGGGCCTTGGAAGGTTTCTCCCTCGCTAGAGAGCAGCTCCGAGTATCTGACTGCCGAGCTCAACGGTGACGATGACCCAGAAAAGATATCTGTTACATTCTTTCCCAACATCATGGAATCTGGAAACTACTCTGTCAACATCTACACCCCAGGCTGTCAAGCTGATGACACCTGTGCGACTCGAGGCCGCGTTAATATTACCGGAGTCATGTCAGGTGATAATGATAAGGATACTAATTTTACATCGACTTTATATCAAACAAACGATTTTGATAAGTACGATCAGATATATTTCGGATACATTGAGAAGAGCTCGGGTTCATTCACCCCCTCTGTCACTCTCCGCCCACTTGCAGGTCAAGACGTCAACACCCTTACAATTGTCGCTCAGAGGGTTGAATTCACTCTTACCAACTCTACTGGTGGCCTCAACGGTCTCTTCGACTTCGATCCTGAGCAAGCAGTAGTCAATGCTACCAGTATTGTGAACTCCCCTATCAATAAACTTGGCGCAAGTTTTGATAGGGCCTCAGGTGTAGGCGTTTTGGTCACGGATAGTAATACTACCTACGTTGGTGGTAACTTCACCTCCAAGGATCACGACAACATCCTCGCTATTATCGAAAATGACGACGTGAAGGAGCCTGGTGGTGGTTTGAATGGTGAAGTCTTCGCTATGTACCTCAACGCTACACAGCTCTACGTCGGCGGTGATTTTTCCAACACTGCCAGCGGGCCTGTGACCGGCCTGGATAACGTCGCAGTATACGACACCAAGGAAGACAAGTGGGGTGCTTTAGGAGCTGGCCTCAATGGCCCTGTGATGCATGCCGTGCCACTGATCCTCAACATCACTGCCGACACTCCTGAACTTGTGATCGCTTTCACAGGAGAATTTTCTTCATGCAACTCCTTCGACAACTACGATGCCATTTCTGTGGATGGTTTCGCCATATGGGTAGCTTCTCAAGGCAACTGGTTGCAAAACATTGACGGCAATTACCCTGCTTTTGATGGTTCACTCACAGCCGCTGTCCTAGATGTTCCCATGGACGGCGGGTCTCTGTACGCTGGAGCTCTGTCGTCCGCACAACTCGGTACAAACGGCGCTGCTACACTCTCAGATGATGGTCTTGGTCAGTTCCCTCTCAAGATCCGTGCCGCTACTCCGTCGTCAAACTCATCTGCACTGAGCCGTCGAGATGTTACTTCCTTCAATAAAAACACCACGGGCGTTGTGACCGGTATATTTTACGACGAAAACGATTACAACATCACCATCCTAGCAGGCCATTTCACGACCGAGTCGACAAAAGGTGATAAGGTACAAAACATTGTTCTTCTTGAGGGTGACGATGTCACTGGACTTGGTTCTGACATTTCAAATGGTTCTACATTTGTCGCACTCGCTGTGCGGAATGGTATCTTGTTCGCAGGTGGTGATATCAGCGGCACCATAGACGGAACAGACATCCGTGGCCTTGTTTCATATGATCTGGAGTCAAAATCTTTCAATTCGCAGCCCGCCTCTGTATCGGGGGCCAACAGTACCGTCGCAGCTATTGCCGTCCGCCCTGGAGATTCTGGTGACGTTTATGTTGGCGGCTCGTTCGATACTGCGGGTGCATTGGACTGCCCTGGTCTCTGCACCTACAATGTCAACTCTGGCCAGTGGAGCCGTCCAGGTAGCGAGCTTGAGGGTACCGTTTATAGCCTCTTGTGGCTGAGTAAGAACCAGTTGGTTGTTGGCGGTGATCTCCGCGGTAACGGGTCTGACCAGCGCTTCCTTGCCAGCTGGGACGCCAACTCAGAGTCCTGGTCAAATTTCCCCGGTTCCGAAGACATTCCAGGGCCTGTTGCGGTCATCGCGCCTGGATCAATCGATTACGACCAGCTTTGGGTTGCTGGTACTTCGCTCAAGGATGACAGTGTCTTCGTAATGAAGTATGATGGTGAGAAGTGGCATACTGCCGGACCTTCCCTCTCTTCAGACACCATCATACGCGGCTTGCAGGTCTTTTCGGTGACTGAGGATCACGAAGCTGCCGACTTGTTGGACAAAAACCAGGTATTGATGTTGACAGGCTCCATCGATATCACTGACTTTGGAGTTGCCTCGGCAGCTCTCTTCAACGGCACAGCATACCAACCATATGCGATGACAATTAAGGCGGGTGATGGTCCAGGCACTATTGCTGGCATCTTTACCCAGCGTGACAGTTTCTTCAAAGAAGGTAAGTTTATCACCGATCTTGTGGCCAAACAACCGTACTAACCCCATGTTGAGAGAAGCATATGGCCCTGGGCTTTGTGGTTCTTATCGGACTCGCTATCGCGCTTGGTCTGATGCTCCTCCTCGTCCTTTGTGGCATTATTCTCGATCGCATTCGCAAGAAGCGGGAGGGCTACGTCCCTGCACCTACGTCCATGTACGACCGGGGCAGTGGAATGCGACACATCCCGCCTCATGAGCTCCTCGAGTCTCTTGGTCACGGGCGAGGTGGTGCACCACCACGTGTCTAAGCAAATGAGAAAGAGAAAAGAAAAGAAAATATTCCCGATTTCTAGGGGATGTCGTCATTTTAGCAAGCTGCATACGTGTCTGATCTGATACCTTTGGCGTTCTGGAAAGGTGTATGGGATTGTTTTCGGACCAGGGAAGTCCATTGCTATTTTCGAACATGGAGATCCAATACAGGTCCCAGCATGAGCATATGGGCTCTTGACACCAAAAGTCGAAACCATATCGTTCAAAAAGCTTCGGCTTAAACCCAAGTCCCTACTTCGGCTGGATTCTGGAGGGGGCCATCTCCAACGGCAACCAGTTTACCTCGACGTCTTCGAGGCCTGTTCTCTCAGTACCTCACCGCATTTCTCTTGTTTTTTTACTTCACTTCATGAGGTCATGACCCACCGGTTAATTTCTACCTGTTTATTCTTTCTCGTCGACACCCATACATAGGTGCCTTTGTCGGCATGCCGTCTTTTATCGCTGTATATTACCTTCTTCTGCGCAGTTTCCGACCCCTAGACTGCCGAGGACCTCAGGTTTTGTGCCTTTGTTCCTCTTTCAAAATTCCGTTGCTGTGAGGGCGCTGGAAGGAGAACTTGAATTATTTGAGGGCTCGGGATGGTTATCTGGTGGCTCTAGTTGAGAATGATTTGGTCGATGACGCTGCGGTTAGAAGAAGCCATCTAGCACCGAGCATGGTGATATGATACTCAGCTGAACTAGAGTAGCTTAATTTGAGTGGTTATAGTCTCCTGGACGTTCCCATCTTCCATATACGTGACTTGTTGTGGAGAAGAGATATTATGTCTCTGTAAGATTTCTACGGACTTCTCCCTGGGGGTTGAATAGGAGCAGGCCAACACACACACATATATATATACCCATTTTCTTCAAGGTTCATAATCTACAACTTTGAACTGCGGCTATATCTCCGAATTCGCTCATACTTGCTGGTGGCATTGTTTCTTGAGCAGGAAAGTTTGTGAATCTCCCTATTCACTAACTGTAGTGTTTCTTGCAACATCCTGACCTTTGTGCCTGTTTCTTTGTGCTCTTTCAGCGGGACTGTACAGATGCGCGATGCTACGTAGCATAGCATTTGGGTTCGACATCGCTCTCGTGTCAGCCCATTCTTAAGACGAGCCTTGACTCTGTCTCATAAGCAAGTGGCCGAGGCCACACCGATTGGAGCTTTGTGTTGTAACAGCCCCGGGGGGGGGGGGGGCTTGTCTTATCTTGTCCCGGCTTGTCTTGCAAGCTTCCTCTGTCGCGGTAAATGGAGAACACTCTGGGGTAAAGCATAAGGGAACTCTCCAGGATATGTTGGCTGGTTCCATTTGGTAGTTAATAAGTGAGGCGGACGATGTCTTTTGGTTGTCCCTGAATAGAACAAGCGGCCATGCACGTTTGACACAACTGCGGTGCGAGGATGCTCCTTGCTTAGAATACGGCTACCGCTTAAGTGACGTGCCTCAAGACCGGCGTTCCTGGCCTAGAGCTAATAGGCATATGAGTTTTGAGAGGGTCTCGTATCAGAGATGTTCACATTATTGGACTGTCAACACCTCGATGGTACATTCATTTTAAATTTGTAGCCATAGTTCTTTGTTTACGGCTACCCTAGACCACAAGTGTCGCATCTCTTGCCATATGTCTATACGTACCTCTTGCATCACATCATAGTTACAGAACGTGGTATTGCTCTCTCTGTCCCACTCTACTGCACCACGATACCTCTTCATGGAAATACATAAAGCAGGGGGGGTTTCCGAGGGCTCAAGACTCACACTGCCATCTCGTGTATAGCAAATATCCACAGCAAGGTCGAGTGTCGTATCTGTGAACCCTGTGATGAGTGAGTGCCAAGGAAACTCTGTTTTCCTTCAAAGTGGATCAGATCGGGTTCAGTGAAGACATCGTGGTTGGGCGAGACTCGGAAGCACAGAACCGCCGTGTGTGATGCAATGCTTACAGCAGACTAATAATGGCGGTAGCAAAAGACAAGGCGCACACAATAACGACAACTACCTGACGTTAACCTAACCTAACTAAACAGCCTTGCCTGCGATTGTGCTGAGGCCTTACTTGGGCTTGTGAGTTGTGAGGGGCATTGCTCCCTAGTCTCAAGTTAGTAGCAGATCGATGACGCTGTAGACATGCCTTATCACCCCGCCGCAACCCTCTTCCGTTTGTCTCTAGTTAGGTAGGCAAAGCGATTCACTTGATGGTTGGTTGTTCACCTCTTCCCTGCCTCTGCCCAGTAATGACAACCCAAGCAGGATTCCAAGGGTCAACACCAACCTGAAGTCAGCATGCTCCATGACGCAAACTCTTCTCTTTCCTTCCCTCCTTCATTGTCAAGCGCCGGCCGAAAGCTGCAAGGACGGATGCAGTCCGAAAAGCCAACTGCATCACGGAATGGGGCCTTACCGGCGCCGCCACGGCATCATTAGCAACACCCAACGGTACAGTACCATACCTACTATCTTGAGTCTTCTGAGTATATGTACAAGATGATGGACTAGCAAGCAGCGCTCAATATGTAAGAGGAACGACACGAGACGACACGGGATATTCCATGCCAATGGGCACCACCTGAGCCAATCACAGCAACGTCTAGTCAGTAAGCCAAGACAACGCGTAGCCTAATAGTGGACGACGTCGATGCTGTAGGTGCTCAGAAAGGAACAATATGAGATAAACGTGTTACAGGGACCATTGCCGGTGGCAATAGTGGACGAGAGGGTGTGGAGTTCACGTTCGCCATATGCAAGATAGAGCCCGTCACTTCAAATTACTCTACCGCCAGCGCCGCGGTAGTTGTGTTGCCCAGTGAATGATGGCAATTGCTAGAATCCCATACAACAGACGTACGGTATACGTGTGGTCGTACATATCGCCTTGGCGAAAAACATGGCGTTTTGGGAAAGCCAAAGAGCCAGATAAATTGTTCCGTTTGCATGTCTCGGCGATTTTACGGGTGCATTAACGCCTCGTCTGTTCTACCAAACGCCGCACAATTTAATATCGACAGTGTTAACGGAGCTGTGTAAGGTAGACTGAGTGAGTATCGGTTGACCACTGGGACGTTTGCAGGGGCGATAGAATATCGAGTCAAGAAATGGTGCTGCAGAGCCATGGCATGACTGATATGACATCCATGACCAAGCGACTAGTCCGAATTCCGCCTCTTCGAGATGAGGGTACAACTTCCAATGGATGTTATCAAGACAAGGCTCAAAATGATTCAGTTGAGCAAAAACGACCGCTTCTCGTGTCAGTGGAAGGTGTACCGGGGTAAACAATGGGGAGCAGTGGGCCCCCGGCACTCAGTCGGTAGCGCGCTTCTACTTCTGCACCTCAAAAGACTGACTTGGCTTGACCAGGAGAGACAAGGCGGGAGGCGCGCAGGGGTTGGCCAAGTACCGTGAGCTCAAGCCTAGAGGAGCTAAGGCAAATTGAATGGAGCCTGGCAGAACAAAAGATCCTGAGAAGACCCCAGTAACAGCACCCAAGCCAACCCAACAAGGTTCTGATGGATGGGGACTGAAAGGGCTCCTCGACCTATCTGCAACCTTGGCCACACACTACACACTCCTGTTCCTCCCAGCTGACATGGACTGGCTGCTGTACACCTGTGGCCTGTCCGATGTCATGTAAGTGATGGCCTCATCACTTAATCAATCCCTAGTTTGCGGCGGACATCTCAATATTTTCTCAGCCCTGCCCTTTGTTGGCAGCCTGGTACCAGCTGAAAGGTCCTTTCTATTACAACCCTGTTATGTATCATGGCGCCAAGCGATTACCCCCTTGGGTCACGTTGGGTGATAGAGCCGCTAGCAAAAACAACGTTGCGTCTGCGGTTGCAGTCTAAATGTGCGTATTGCCCAATGGAGCCAGAGTTGGTCCATTCGATAAACACGCTAGACATCAAGACGATTATACCAGGGGCCTCGTCTAAGATATCGGATATCCAAACACCAAATAACCTTCGATGAGATGAGACAGGTCTACGTGATCTGAGTGCACGGGTGTTGTTCTTGGGTTCGTGACGATCAAATTTGCCCGAGTACTTGGAACCACTTTGCCATACAGTGCCTCACTCGTGAGTTCAGAGTTTCAGTCAAGGTTCAGTTGTACTATCATGCTTCAGAGCGGACATGAATCCGAGTGGCCATGAACTTCAAATCTGGTCTTCGAATGAGCAACGGGCGCGACAATGCGCACGGTCGCTAGAGCGGAGGCTCCTCTTGTTGTCTAGCTGTGTCCCGTAAATTGGAGCCTCTCCCGAAAGCTTTCTCCCTCAGCGGACTCGACTCGACAAGTGACAAGAGCTGCCGCGTCAGCTAAACCTCAATGATTGAATCAAGCCCTGGCTCTTGATGCTCTGAGACCCAACTCAACTGGGTCCATACCATACCTACTCTTCCTCGCCAGGAACCAGTCTGAAGAGCGAAGACCCGCTATCGGGATGCCGAAAACGCTCATTGTCTCCACCCCCATCATAGGCCATCATGAACAGGTACCTTCACCCGTCTCTGAGCGGCTCCTATTTTGACTCGTGCACCTGTTATGCTTCTTCTCAGTGGCACCGGCTTTGCTGCGTCCCGAGCTGCTAGTTGCGCGCCAAACATGCACCGGCTACCTAGCCCCGCAGCCGTGTCCATCCAGTCTACCAGTGCAGACACGGCTGTATCTAATTGCCTGTCCTGCTACCGGCCTGAGTTTGCTCCGGACGCACCGGCCGAGTCCGCACACAGAAAGAGAGGGGCTCTGCGCTGGTGGTACCTTGTCGCGGTACATTGACATCACAGGTTCATCTAAACTCACGCGGGACTGGGATTGATGTAAATCCACCGCTGTAAGAAGGCGGGACGCTGCGGAATAGACTCCATGGGATTGATAAAAGGAGATTAAGATTGAGGCGTCAGATCGAACAGCACAGGGGCAGGTCTTGGCAGCGGATTGGATGCTCCCCAAAATGCTGGGGAAGATGAGCATCACTCCTCTGCCAGGCAACTCAAAGAGGTCCATTTTATCTCAGCTGTTGGTACAGTACGATACAGTGCTGTAGTCAGTTCCCAACAGGATGGTTCAAGGAAGATTCATCTTGACGATCACCGCTACACTGGTGCTCAACACGTGTTACGTGGATTGAACATCAGTCCGTTCGTCAACCATTGCCACGGGTTCATAGAAACCAACAAAGTAAGATCTACATGTCACCATCTGGGGTGACTCAAAGCGTCGATACATATCGCTCGAGGTTATTCGAATTTCGTATGTTTTAGTGCCTGTCCGTTTCAAATGAGCCTCGAGTCCACCATAGCACGTCAACACTAGTGTCCCAATCTCGTTGCAATGTCATGGTTCACGTGAAATCCCCTTTGACTAGTTGCACTTATGATCTGAGTACGACGTGACTGGTGGGTTGCGATAAGTCCCTTGTCTTGGGAAGGATGAATCGTGGGGGCAATATTCAAGACGATGTAAGATCCTGTTCTCTGGTATTGCTAGTATGTAGGTAGACAGCTGGGATCGAGGCAGACTGTCGAGCCCGTGCATCGCCGCCTGGAACCATTGCCTCAATGCGTGCTTGATACACGCCCTGAGCATGGATTGAAAACTGTTGCCTGGATAGCGATACTTATCGGAAGTTGTATGTCAGAACGTACATCCAGTGACGTTTGTGATCATGGGTTTGATCCAGTCCGGGGAAGGAAAACACCTTACTTTGAGATGGCAGGAAACAACTCAAACTCAAACCAGCGCCATCGGCTCTTCTTTCGCTGTAATATCACTAAATCCACTTGCTAATCTTGAATGCGAGATGAGATTTGATGGAACAATATCCAACTGATAAAGAATCAAAGCTGAAGCAAAGAAGATATAGTCAGGTGTGCCGTCGGGGTTGCAGTCGTTGACCGGGAATATTTTGAGGCGGGCTGGGGAATGCTGGTAGATTCTGAGACACACCCCTGCAACAAAGTCAGCGCTGAATGGCTTGATTGCCCCATTCATGGAACCGTAAACCCATAATTTTCAATCTTGATGCCCCTTCAAATCTTCACGAGCAATGAGCGTTTTCCAGACTCATGACCACCAGCTCGGGCAGTCCGATATCTGCAACCCAAACCAGGACCTGCTTGTCTTCACGGACACTTTAGCCTTCTAGAAAACACAAGGAAGTTTGGCAAAGTGCAACCTCACAGCAGCCCAATCGAAGTTGAGCATGTGTGTAACGGGGGCGACGTCTGTGTCAGCTCGCCTGCCAGCCCCGTAGTGATCGACAAGTCGTCAATCTCGGGTATCACGACGAGCTAGCAAAAAGAAAAACAGGCGTTGTATTGCAAGAGCGCAGGGACCGTGTATCTGAAGGGTTACGTAAAATACTGTAATTTTACAGTCGTGAGTATTGTAATTATTGTAATTTTGAAAGTGGTGCATGGGGCGAGAGTTGCTTCCTGGAAGCCCATGTTCAAGACACTGTTTCGTGTGCTCAAAGAGCCGGATCGACACCATGAAGACAACGCTTGTCGGGATAGCGTCGGCATCGCTGACAAGGCGCAGATTCGAATGCCGGAGGGTAATGATGATCGCAAGATCTGGGAGATAATCACAATTAAAACCTCGCTGGGGCCCCTTGCGCAAGATATGTTTCAAACATCCCTTTTGGGCTTGCCCATTTCCAATTCGGAATAGTTGGTTCCATTAGGTCTTTCCCGTCAGAAAATTACCATCCCGGCAGCCTGTAGGAGGCTCGGCTGGAATCCGTATGAAGGCCAGAGGTCTTGCCTTTCGCAAGTTCCTACTGCCCAACGCGTAGCACTGAGTTACTCAAGGACTTAATGATCTTGCCACTGTTCATCGAGTCCGAGTCATGGCAATATTCTTCCAGTTGTGAATTCCTTTTCTTCCGAATCATTTAATATAGAGGGATTTTTTCTTCTTTTTCTTTGAACCAGATATTGCTTTTCCAGGCTCACGGGTACCCAAACATCAGTACTCGGACCCCATGGATGTGCTCGTGAGAGCTGGAGCGAAAGAGCAGACTGTTGAAAGTGCCAAGGACCTGCTAGGAAACATTGGCAATGTCGACAGCCAAGAACAAATCTTAATCCGTAGCGGTCTGTGACGGCTGGTCCGACCACTCTCTGGGACCCCCTATCGTTTTCGTCGTTGACCAATCCCAAGCAGCTTCCTTGTGGCCTTTTGCATTTCCCATGCTTGGTCACATCAGATTCACGGCTTAAGATAGTTTGGTGTTATTTCCGTAGCAGGTCAAACGAAGAGGAGGGTCACCCTTATCGACGACTGGCTGTATCCGGGTCTTCATGCGTCGCGGGGCGCCACTCCCATCATTGCTATAGCAAACGGGCGGGTCTGTCGTGTGTGTGCTCCGTATACCACTCCGTATTGCAGAGGGCACCAAGCGAAATGGCTGCAAGTGGACTGTAGATAAACTACGGACATCTTGTGTTCTCGGCATTGATGAGGGAGGCAGTTGGTTCGCGCAGAACAATCTGTCATCGGCATGGTCCGTTTTGGCTGGATTGTAGCGATTAAATGTTAGAAGACCTGATGGAGAAAGAGAGGCAACACCCTGACTCTCTATGACTTTGGAAAAGAAAGACCCCCGCATCGATCACTAGGGGTAGGGAAGTTAACGCGCCTACCTAATAAGGTAGTGTATATTTGAATCGCGGAAGGGCTGTTCCTTCATACCAAATCGAGGGAAGGTGCTAACCAGGGCAGCACCTTTGTTTTTTCTCTCGATCCCCAGGCACACTTTTCCGTCCATATCCAGAGGCTAGAGCAAAAAGCCAACATAGGCACACAGCAAATCACCCACACATAACTCTAATTGATACACGATACATGACACGGCACTGAGTTTGATCTCCCCGAAAAGGAATTCTAATAATCAGGAGCCGTTCCCCAATATGGAGGCGGCGTCGAGCTAGCAGAAGTACCACGATGGGGCAAATCTGAGCACAGGCAAAGCCACATGCGCCAAAACGTCCATTCTCAAGCGTTCAATCTAACGAAAGGCCTCTACCAGCGAAGAACTACAGTAGTCGCAGTGGGTGACTGACTGACATCAAAACCCATCCAGAAAAATTACAATGTCGCAAGATTCCAACTACACAAAGTTGGGGGCAAAGGGCTTCTTCAACCCTTGGCTATCTACCTACCTAGGCAGGAATTGTTTAGTGCCTTGGTCTGACAATTATCCGCGCTCATTATCCGCGGTCATCGGATGCTGATGCTGATGCTGATTCCTGGATACTACTACACCAAGATCATAGGCGGGCATATATGCAATGCTCTGTGGTGCCCCACGAGGGTTGAAGGACGGCACAACAGGGCAGGTGGAAAAGTACTGTAGGGGACATTTTGGACTCCGTACTAGGGAAACAATGCCGACTCGCGGCGTGCAGTCATGGCATCACTGCAACACCACTTTTGGGGGGTCATGGTGGCTCTCCGTGCCCTTTTTCAGTGAGAGTGAGAGTGACGCCGTCCCACATCGTTTTTGGAGCAGTATGATGACGGCAATGCCATAGGTTCTCAGGGTCTTGTCGTTTGTTTGGTCTTGCATGGCCTTGTCAGTGATGAACTGTTTCTGCCCTTGTCAGAGCGCCTGTGGCATCTTTCAAGGGTTCACCACGTCAGTCAGTTGCCATCATATGCCAGGCCATCCTAAACCGTTGATGTCAATGCCCTTTTCTCACCCTCCACCGTGCGGTAAGTTATCGGTGCATGCCCACGGTATCGCGGATGAACAATATCAATGTCAACGTCAAGGCAATGCGATGGCATGGCATGCCTCTGCTAGCCCCTAGCGTCGCCATCAAAGGCTGTTTCAATTCCTTCACCGTCTCGCGTTCCCAGCGTTTCTTGTCTCGTTTCTGAGTTCCACCCACACTTGCTGGAGTTGCTTCCTGGCGTACCTTACGTCAGGGCTCTCATGGGTAAACACCCTTCCGCGACGAGGGCGTCTTGTGGCCGACGCCTCCCGTGGAGCTTTTCGCGGCTTTTAGCTCTTGTCAAGTATCTGGTACGTCTTGGGCTCCTCTTCCCACCCTTGGCATTGCTTGTTGACGTGGGATCCCTGGCCATTCCCCATGACCAAGCGCACGACTCGACAACGCCCACTCAAATAAAATCCACTCAACAAGAAGCTCTCTGCAATCCATTCCCACAACACTAGACAAGCCTATGCGGATCCCTCGATGCTGCCGTTGAGTGGCTTGAAGGACCCTCGATTCCCACCCGCCGCCCGCGTCGCAACAAGTCACCTACAGGCACGCTTCCATTTGGCTTGCGGACCCTGCATATCATGATCCCGCCCTGTCGTCCACCTCAATTCCCAGTCCAATACGTACCCAAGGTGCTCCCCTGCCTTGCAATTCATCTCAGACCCTCCACATCAGTGGCGTTCGTGAGTTGCTTGGATAGCGGGGGTCCCTTTGCAAACTGCCGTCCGTAGCCTTGCCCACCTTCACTTCTCTGTTCTCTGTCAGTCTTCAGCTCTGAGCACACCCCTCTCCATAGGCATCCTATGCCACCTTGTGTACCCCGTAATCCTTCTCCTCTGCCATCGACGCACCCCCTCCGGACAGAAGAACAAGTTAGCGGTGTTTAGTGTTCTTTTTGGTAGGATCAGGCCTTGAACTGCTACTTGAATAATCAATTGTTTTAATGATCTGAAGTCTTCCATCTTCAAATCTATTGATGCCATCATAGCAGGTGTTTATGTATTCTTTTCTTGCTGTCTCATGAATCTACATCATCTCTGGCCTGGCACTGGTAGACCTTGAGGGTTTCTTCCAGGATTTCTGATCCAAATCTCCTCAAAAGTCGCTGATCTTTGCGCTGTCTGGCACCGCGGACGCTACTATCTGGGTGCCGTGGACTGTCAAGTCAAGTCAAGTCAAGTTAAGTCGATTTGTGGATTAGAGACTGTCTCCATCATCTTATGCAGCCCACAACCCCCTGGTTTGCTGCTTGACCTGGCTACTTGGTCCTACGACCCTACCTCATCGCACTAACCCTGTCGCTTCAGCCATTGTGAAAAGACGTCGGCCTGCCGATCACTTAGACCAGAGTCGTCACACCTTTTTTTTTCTTTCAGAGACGGGGGAACTCCACTCTTCTCCCGCAGCCCAGCCCGTTTCCAGAGGCAGATTGACGCACGTCAATTCGCACCCAGACACTTAAGACTTCGCTGATCCCACCTTGGCCCCGACTCAACTCCCCATATCATCTCCAACCTGGACGGGATCTTCTGTCTCTGATCTGTATCACCGACTTGGCTTTTATTCTAGTTAGGATCCCGCATCTGATCAACAAACCTTTTTTTTCCCTCTACCACGCATCTGCCCACCGATCTATGTTGATATTGCACATCAACCACTACACTTCACATCACCATTATCACATACCAATATGACCATGACGCTCGACACCACTCAGCAGCGGTTTGGGCCTTCGTTGAATTTCGACTATTCAGCGCCTGCACATCCACCTGCATTTTCGAACCCATGGTCCTCGTCTTCACCATCACAGCATCCTCCTGCTGGGAGCAGTCTCTTTGTTGGTAGCCAACCTGCCCTCAACCCAAGCATCATGGCCGGAAAGCCACCCCAAAGTCGTGCGAGCACTAGCAGCACTTCTTCAATGGCCTCATACGGAGGCGCAATGCCCGTCCCCAACACATCTGCAGGTAAGTTTAAGATGCTAGCATCGACAATAAATGATAAATTTACTAACAAGATCACATAGATCTTCTTAGCATTAACAGAATGCAAACAACATCTGCTGCTTATGGAGATCCCACTTACACTACATCTGCTTCTCCTGTCAACCACCAATTTGCACCTACATCAGCTGCCCCCTATGACACGCTGGGCTACGCACCCGCTCCTGTGCGCCCCCCACCCTTTGGTCTCGCTCCGGCTGATGACCACGCCAGAAGATACTCACAGCAGTAAGTATCCTCGACCGGACAGATCTATCCCTTACTGACGCTAGGGGCAGTAGCATCCAGGATGAACGGAGGAGCTTTGCAGATGCTCTCGATGCCAGCCATGGCATGCTGGCCATGAGCCAGGAGACACCTCGACCTATCTATGGCGCGCGAAGTGATCGATCCTCTGTTGATTCCTATGGATTCCCTTCTACCCACTCAACTAGTTCTTCTATCTCTTCCAGCGGTAACTTTAGCTCTTACTATGGTGATTCCGTTTCTGATTACTCAACTGCGGGTTCTGATATTGAGTCGGTGTCTTCGAGGACTTTACCCAGACCTCAAGGCCTGATGGGCTCCCAGATCCCGCCTGCCCCCCAGTCCATGATGGGCCAGTTCAGCTCCAAGGTTTCATCCAGCACACAGAAGAAGCATAAATGCAAGGTCTGCGATAAACGATTTACTCGACCCAGCTCTTTGCAAACCCATATGTACAGCCACACAGGCGAGAAGCGTATGTTCCCTTTCACCAAGAGCACGCTCCACTCACTAACAAAATGCAGCTTTTGCTTGTGAGGTTGAAGGATGTGGCCGACATTTCTCAGTTGTTTCCAATCTTCGACGCCACCGAAAGGTCCATCGTGGTGACGCTCGCTCTGAGGCTGGCTCTGAAGACCATCACTCGGACTAGAGACGTTCTACGACGGTCTAAAACCCTTCGATCAAACACATTCATGACGAGCACAGGACACACGTGAAGGAGACTGGAACCTGAAGAGAGGCGACGCAACAACGACAGTCAAAGTGACCGACTGGTTGGTGACAAATCGCATTGTTTTATCACCCGCAAAAATATTATTACAACACGGCTCAGCGCGGCATAGAGAAATGGGACAGAAAAGGATGAGAAATCATGGGGGTGGGGAGGAGGAGGACAGCGACGGTGTATACGATTCGAGTCTATCGCTTACGGTGCATGGGGTCCTTGGCCCTTAAACTCTGGATTTCACTATTGGTATTTTGGGATGGGAATGGGCGGAGTGCTGGGCCGACCTACCGATACCCTTCCACGCGGCGTTTATGGAGTTGACCAAGCTATGGTCCTGTCGTTATTCATGTTTGGGCACACGATGCCTTGAGCTATACTTCGAAGCGATCGTTCATGCCCTTTATTTTAGGGCACCTGTTATTCTCTCGACAATAAGGCATTGTGAGCCTAGGGCATTACTGAGATAGCCACGGACGAGCTTTTAGGGGAGGCTTGTACTACTAGTTTCATATTTATGGTCATGATATACCCAGTCCGGACCATGCACAGCCTGATCTGTTGATAATGGGCCAGGGGCTTCACAGGACAAAAGACAGACCAGGGCGTTGGCAAGATATGGGCACGGCAATGAAGTTGATGAGAAGAGGTGCAGATTATAGAGTGCAAGCAGTTTTACAAGAATTACACTTGAGATTAAAACTCGATCATGTTGTGACATATGAAGTGACTTTTTTGACCGCCTTGTCAACTGATCAGATAAATTTCACAAGATACATAAATTTGTTGCACGGCGTGGTCAGGGACATAGGGAAAAGAGTTGAACACTTTCCACCATGATGGGAATCTGTGAGAATGCCATACTCTGGTGGCAATGTACAGGTCTGGGATAAAACATGACTCGCCAGTAGATAGCAGCCGAAAAGAAAACCAGTCGTGCTGTGTCAAGGATCGTAAAGGGGCTCAGCAATAAGCGCGAAGGCGGCTGGACGGTCTCCCACTCCCCTCCATCTCGCAGTCAGGTTACGAGATAGCCGCAAGAGGTGACCCTGGCCTGCGTCAAACGAGGCGAGGCGGTATTGCCGAGGGAGCTAATGTAGAGAGAGAACTGAGAAATGTCAAATTCAACGTCAAAGCCACTTGTTGTCGATGATAGCGAAGATGGATGGATTGAGGACGAGCACTTGAGACACAGACGCGTAATGCAGCCCCTACTCCTTCTACCAGCGATTCTTTAACGCAAATGAATTTGCAGCAAAAGGAGCAGATGGACAGGAGAGGAAGGACAGGAACAATTGGTTGACCATCCCTGCACCTGGTCTGTTATTGCCTGCCGATCATGACCTAGAATAGCAGACGCCGGCGTTTCAAGTTGTGTACATCCCTACCGCAAGAGGCATCGTCATTGAGTCGATGGCATTGTCAAGACCGGACAAGCTTTGTGGGGGTGGAAAGGCAGGGAGGGAGTCAAAGGTGTTGGTAGATTAACTTCGAAACGTGAGATTGAGATTGGGTTGGCTTGAGAACTGAGGGTCCTTTCGGAGTTTGAGCAAGGGGACGCAGGGGGAAAGTAGGAGACCCCCCGGAGGATATGGTCCAAAGGGTTGAGCCTCGGTTTTGACATCCGTGGGTGAGTGGATGAGATGATGGCCTTAGCATGTATTCAGCTTAGCTTGCGAGATGTCCTGGATGGTGTTATTGGGTGTTGCACTGATGCTGCTCAAGAAGGTTTGTTAGAAGTCAACTAGAAGGTTTTCACTAGAGATGAACATGAAATGAATGGCTCTAGATACGACATTGTACATGTAAAGTTGTAATCGATTGATTAGAAATTGGTTCTATATCCGTTTTTCGATCTATCACCAGTCAGTCAGTCAGTCAGTTAAAAGACTGTATCATCTCTTAGCAGACTTAGCTTACTGCTCATGGGATTCAGTGGAGTCAACAAGGGAATTGCCCATCTTCCATTTGTTAGGGTCTATAATTCCCTTTTTTCTTTCTTTTTCGTGCTCAGATTTCCGCATTCCCATCTCAATTCTCTCATTCTCATTCCCCAATGGCCCCCCCCCCCAATATTTCACTAAATCCCTGTCTTTCCCAGCCGGCTCCCCATTCGTTAAACGCGTTACACCCTGTTTGTTAGGTTGAAAATCGATCTGATTGCAAGCCACAAACTGGGATGCTGGACAGCGGGAGAGAGATATCGGTTTCAGCTCATGTCATGTCACCAAAAGAAGTTGCATTGCAATTGAAGACGGTCGGTCGCTGATGGCACGTATAAGTACAGTATTATATTCTGTGGTGCCAACAGCTCGACAATTACTACACATGGCCGAGATTGATATGTAATGTAATGGAATTGCTAATAGCCGACCGAGGCGCCCTGTTACAGACGATGCATGTGGGAGACTCTTCCTCCACTTGCGATACGCTCGTTCGGATTACTCGATCAGTTCGATAATATCCATCAACTCACTCATCCATGTCCAGCCTCCACGCTGGGCAATTTACCCTCTGTGGCAAAAAGGACGCGCGCGACATGGCCAAAGTATGTACTGTATGTATCGTTCAACTGCAATGTTCGCTGCGACAGTGGAGGCTGGCAGCCGAAATAGACGAAGGGGTTCTCGTGCTATAGGGGTATGTACTGTACCGTAATAGCTGCTGTGCCATGTCACGGCTTTGGTGATATGACATATGACGTCTCTCACGGCTGAGATGTGAGCGCCCGGGTCGCGGAACCCAAGAGATCCGGCGCCGTAATGACGGATTCACCTTCACGGCATGGGATGGGACTGGCCGATTTGTGAGACAGTTCACAACGGCGCTCCGAGGCGGTGCAAACGACCTTTGGGGTTGGACAGGTTGAGAGAGTACATGACCGCGGTCAGTACCCTTGGGGCGAATTCTTGGTGTCGCGTTCCTCAACTTAGAATAGGCACAGAGTTTGGTATACTTGGAGAATTAGAGTACCGTCAAAGTCGCTTAATCGCCCCATTTTAGCACCATAACTCAACCCTGAAGCCGTTGGCAAAATGACTGCTTATCCATCGCCTCCTTTCGATCCCAGCTTTTGCCTCACACGAGGTGCGTAATGTCGTCGTCGTACAGTACTTTCATGTTCACGATGCCACACATGCTCTACTCATTATGCACCATTCGTAAAAGGAAGGAAAAGGGACCTCAGATTGATTAGAAGGATTCCAAAACACCGATAATGACGGCGGTCGTGGGTCGAGCAATGACGTCGACGGAGAAATTAGACTCGTCGTCCGCGTTTGAGATTCTGCCACGGACTCTGGCCTCTGCGTAAAGAAGCGCCGATGATGGGATCTTCAGGGTCCTTCTTATTAGGGGGCTAGTACCAATTCAGCTTGGGGTTGTGGATTGGAGAGAGTCAGGGAAAAGTCAGAAGCGGCAGCAATGGCAATAGGTAGCAATAGCAATAGCAATAGCAGGGGTGGTGACATTTCTTCTCGGTGTGTTTCCTGGTTTGTGACGTGGAGTAGGATAAGCTAGCATGTAACCAAATCAAATCAATCAAACAGTTATGTTGTACGGAGTTGGGCATGTATACAGACACAGCTGAGAAAAGAGAGGGTCGGCCGGCCACTGTGGGAAAATTAATGGGGCGTGGAGAGATGGATTGAGCGACTTAGACGCGAAACTTGTTTTCCCCTCTCCTTGTCTGCTTGTTCCTATCTTGCATCTACGTGTGAGGGGCAATCAATGGTTGGGTTGGGCTTGCTTCTGCATGATGAAATAAATGCCTAATTGTCTTACGGAATATGGAGCTATACCATATTGAACCATCTGATATCGTCCTGCGCAAGTAGGGCGGTAGGTATAGTATAATTTCTTTTCTGGCTGTTGGGATTGAGTTAAGTTTTGGACCCAGAGACAGTTGTAGCTACTCCTTACGTACAGTAACACTGAATGAAGTAGTTAGGCATTTAGCAGTTCACATCCGTCTTTACGATTCGTCTAAGCCCACAATTCTGACTGCTACTATGTTGTGCTAAGCATTGAAAGTTTGTTTTGGCCGCGGCAGTGTTTAGCTCTCAGCTCTCATCATACATAGAAACTGCCTATGTAGGGGAGAAAAAAAAAACGTTGAAATGTAATGGGGGCCGTGACGTCAGAGGCTGCGGTAAGGGTCCCCGGCTCCGTTGCTGCGAAGACCCGGCCGAGCTCCACCCGCTAAACGTCATCGATGAGCTTGTTCATTCGCTGCCGCAGATGGCCGAACAGGGACAAGCGCTCTGTACCCACTTTCTTCCCTTTTGACTTTTGCATGTGGGGAGAGTGAAGGTGGGGGCGTCCCTGGGGCGTGAGTGTAGAGGACTTGTCCAAGATACATGACAGGGGTGGCTGACGGGTTTAATTTATTTGCGTTTAGTCTCTGATTGATGCCGGGACATGGGTGGGTTTGGCTGAAGCCGGGCTAGTCAGGCTACGCTACGCTTTGAGCTAGGGTACAGTAACCAGTCTGCCAGAGCAGAGGGCAGAGGGCAGAGGGCAGAGAATATCAGAAGCCGGATGTGGTTCTTTGTCCAGGAACAAACATCACCACTAGGCAGCCTCTTAACCCATCATGTCCCACTTGGTGAGCTTATTGATTGCTGAATGATGCTGGCCTCATCTGATAGGGATAAGTTACACAGGCAATTTACCACAATCCTAGCTAAGAGTCTCTTTTTCGTATCACTGTTGTCATCACGCATCCGCAACCAACATTACTCTTTGGTATATACCACTCTGTGATGCCATTACATTATCACTTCCGTGGTCACCTGTCGGACTGGGTCCGGCAGTGCCACAGTATAGTGTGTGCTCAATGTAGCGTGAACCACCCATCACCACACTCTCACAGCCTTGTCATGAGTAGTCAGTACAGTGCTGTCGTCGTGTAATTGGGCACACGACTAAAACGAGGCCCATGGGGATGCTAACTCAAGTCAACTACATACAACCAAGCTCCCCCTCCTGGAAACCATGCCAGCCAGCCCATCTGTCAATGGCCAGACACTTCATCCTCGTTTTGTCACTCCAGGAACACTCACGAATCGAAAGGGGAGAAAACCCAGGCTTGTTCTACCATGCACACTGTGATACTGTATACAATGTCTCAGCCTTGGTCACCCAAAGTGGAAACAACACCAACCGCTCTATCGACGGATGTCTACATACCCGCATTCCCTCCAAACGCTAACGATACCTTAGAGCGCTAGGTCTCTCGGCTTTTCAAGCTAGCAAGCCTCGCGAGAGACACAAGGAGCAACAAGGTTGAGTGAGACACGAAACGAAACAAAAGAAAGTCTGCCAGTTCTTCCCTACCTCCTAGCTTCCCTCGTACATGCCAGGCAACTGTTCTAGTACCTCAGATAACTGCAACTTAATCCTCTACCTGCTAAGACTGCTCCTTGGCTTCCACGGGGGCCAAGCTTTACTTTTTTCGGCATTGACTTCTTCCGTGGCTTGCATTTGAGATGGTGTCCTTGCGCTGCCATTTCTACCACTCGGCTCTTCTGGCGGTGGATTCTGACGTCCTCTAAGATATAGACTATTCTCAATCCAGCGCACCGCAATTCAGTCTCCTTCCCATTCCCCTGATGGCATTGCTGAGAATGCCATCCTCTTTTTCACTTACCTAGTTTATGCTTACGACTCGAACAGAGAAGATGGCATGTTCTTCCAATCACCATATCAGATATTCAGGTACTCAATTGACTATACACCTCCTTTCATTCTAGCAATCATTCTAATCAATCAAAATCTCTACATGTGTGAGAAGAATTTGTGAGCCTCTAATAACCCCTGGAAGATCCTCTCTGTCCCACCCCGCTTTCCTCTGTGTTTGGGTGTTCATCTCCAACTCCCTTCTGATACCCTCCGTCACCTGACCCTCCTCTAGCTCTTCCTCGCTGACTAAATTAATCACCACCCACCATCCTTCTCCTCATCTCGATTCACTTTGACTATCCCGGCCTCTATCAGTAACGCTCATTTGTCGTCGGCTTTTATTTCCTTGTCTCTTAGCAGATTCATCTCCACACATGCTGCTCTTCTTCAAGGATAAGCAATTGGGCGGGGTTTAGGGCCTTCAGTTGGTTGCTCTCCCGTCCCAGCATCCAACCGATGTGACGTGTGAATCCAGTTCTGCTTTTGCTTTGACAATCGCGCAGCGAGAAATTGTCAAAAGGTAAGATATTGTGCCAAATCCGTTTATTCTGCGCCTTGGCATGTCCAAACCTCAGCCTTCTCGGGGAGATCTGCACGCCTTTGATCTGATCATCAAATAAGCAACCGTTACGGCCGCACATCACAATCACTTGAGAGTTATAAGCGCGGATTAAGGTGCAGGATCACAGCCAATATCTCAACAGAAGCAAGCCTCAAAGCAAAAAAGTTAACGGCGTCTAAGCTCGATTGTAGGTGAGGGACAGCCTTCCAACATAGTTCAGCTGGTCTTGAGACCTACACTACGGCTTGTTCTGTCCTCCTACATAGTGCTAGGGCGACACAAGGCCTGAATTTGACCTAATATTCTCAAAACCCTCTTCCTCACAGCAGCTAAGATGTGGGTTGGTTTGGTTTACATGAGATAGCTTCAATTATGGATGCTATGAAATCATCGTGGACAGAAGTGTTCTTACATCTCGATGACCCTTGGCAAGTGTCTGAGGACCGGTGGCTGGCTTCCAAAGGCTGCAAGACCACTTCGATGACCTTGGCAGATATCAGCAACGATAACATCGTGCATGATGCCAGCCGGCCTGCCAGTGGAGGTGAATAAGTTGGTCTGTGGATGGCTCCCGTTCCATCTTTTGGACAACAGCTCCCAAGCGCGAGAACCAAGAGCTTGAGACAAAACCCATATCACAAATAAGCTACATTTGCATCTTGTCACTTCTGACGTCTTTTACAAGCCTTACATACACAGCCATGCACCCTGGTGCACGGTAAAGACAATGCTAACACGGGGAGCACGGCACATGAAGCACAACAAAACATCATGATAAGAATTCCATCTTGAGCCTTGTACTGAAGCACACACACCAGGTGTCTCCACCAGAAGATCCAACAAATGCCCACGTGCAATAACAAAGATGATAGACACGCCTTTACTCTGTATGGAAAAAGAGAGACATACGTGGGCTTCAGCCAGATTTCCCCCTCCGCATATAGCCACTCAGAGGCACAAGAAGATACTTAGTGAGTGTCGATCACACCGTGCCTCCCCCTCCCCATCGAACTTGCGCGCGTCCCTTGCTGGTATTGTCGACTCAATGCCCAACCACCTTTGGCTTGTATTCAGAACCAAGAAAATGTCGAGGTAACAACTCCGTGACACGATCCAAAGGTTGGGCGGCATGGGCCCGTTCTCCTTCCCCTCTCCCCTGACTCAAGGCGAAGACGACAGGAACATGGGGAGATCCCTATGGATGAAATCTGCATCTGCCGGAGTCTTGCTCAAAAGTTCCTCTTGAAATGTGGATGAGCCGCGGGTCCGGGCGTTGACTACCGAAGAAGTGCAAATGGTTCCATCCGTGCATGATGGCCTATTAGTTCGATGATACATCCTACTCTATCTGCTCTGAGAAGTCATCACACGTGCGGTGTAGGTACAGACAAAGTCGTGGGTATGGATAGCCAATCCAAACCAGCCTTCCATGGCTTTGAAGATCTTTCAGGCCCAAGCGTCCGGCTGAGATTCATGGCGACCTGAAAGGTAACATGCTCAATTCGCCAATGTTACTTTCGGCTGCTGACTTACGGAGAATCCTTTGGTGAGAGGACAGTCAATAAATCACCGCCAAGCTAATGTCTAGCTAAACTGCTGCCTTCGGATGATCGTCGCTCTTCTTAATGAGGTGAAACCACCAGCTCGGTTGAAGGACCCCAAAACTCTGCTTCATCCCTGTAGCTGTAGCGAACATGCGAAGTCGGCGGCTCCGCTGTGAGGTGAGGTGAGATGAGAATTGAAATGAGTGCTACACCAGTCTTGGCAAATCATCCGTTCATTGACCCAGCAAGCGGTCAACACTCAGATCATTGTTAGGTAAAAGGGGTTGGAAAGCAAGTCGACATCGTTCACATGGTTGTGAGACAGGAGATTAGCACTCGGTGTAGTGCAACCAGACATTCGAAACATTGAAGCCGTTTTTATTATCTATCAGAACGCCCTGACGCATGCAATGACCCCCTTTCAACGTACAGCATTCCAAATTACTAACCTCCCCAAATCCATACCTAACGCAAGAAAAGAAAAGTCCTTGGAATAAACCCCTGCTATCACCAATGGAAGCATCCTCGTGAAGCCAATCGTCCCTGTCTATACAAACTCTTACAGCACAATCGCCAGCTCCGGTCTATCCATCTTGTCTTCATCAAGATTTGGATAATATGGCACCATCGCGTCAGCCCCCTGAACGTATGCATCGTTGTACAAGCGCCAGTATGGGGTTCTGACCTTTCTTGCCGGATGGAACAGGCCCGCCCAGACGTAGTTGAGCACCAGGCCTGGCCCAACTGCCATTCGAATGGCCTCAATGGCCTCCACGATACGATCGATGACATGTGGGCTAGTCTCAAATAGATTCGGGTACAGAAGGTTGAGGAGGTGCACCATAGCATCCTCGCATCCAAGACCAACCACGCCCAAAGCAATATGCTTGACGACGGAAGCCGCTGTTTGACGGTGGACCTGATCACGGTCGATGAGAGCGTCTTCCAATAAGGGAGTCACTGCGTAAACGTAGTCCTTTGCCATCTCGCCAATATACTCGAAAAGGAAGGAAAGTGACTTGAGCACACCATTCTGCACGTTGAGCTCTGGGACACGATATTCGTTCATGAGAGCAGGAAGAACTGTAAAGGGAGCACAAGTTTCGGCCACGATACCAATGGCAACAGCCGTGTTAACACGGGACTGGCGCTCCTGCACTCGAAGGTTGTTCAACAGAGTTGCCAACACATCCTGAGGACCAATAGCTTTGGCAATGAAACCAAACGTATTGTTCGCAGCTCGTCGAATGCCCTTCTTGTGAGCCTTGAGCATATCCAGCAGCTCAAAGCAGATTCGCATCCATTCTCGGGCATTGACGCTCTCAGGTCCCCGATCCGCAATACGGCCGACAAGGTCAATCGTATTCTCCTGAACCTTTTCGTGACGGTTTCGCAGAATAGGGGTCAGTCGTGGGAGCAGCTCCTTGATGGGTGGTTGCATCTGCGCAATACCAACAACTGTGACAATAGACCGCAAAGCACCCAAGATAGATCCGAGAACTTCGGGGTATTCTTCGCCCAGATACTCGTAGAGCACAACACCCAGCTTACCCATGAGGGCATCCTCGCCACACTGCTTCATAACCATAGCAATTCGGGAGATCAGATCTGCTGCCTGTTGTCGAACCGTCGCCGATTTGTTGTTGAGTCGCCATAGAATAGTACTGACGATTTGAGGGATGTAGGGCTTGCAGCGGGTTCCCAAAGCATTGACAACAGAGCCAAAGCCGTTAAGCATAATAATGTCTTCGACGCTCTGCTCCTGGAACGCGTGAAGGATACCGTCAACAAGTCGCTCTTCTAGGCGCTCGCCAATATCTGCTGCGCCCAAGCTTGCAACGATCTTCTCCACCGTTTCGACAGTCATTTTTCGGTATGGTTCGCTCTCGTCCTTGAGGTTGTTGACGATCCTCTCCACGATTTCGCTGACTCCAACCTTTTGGCCGATGTCGACAGTTGTTTCCACCACTTGTCGATAGTTTCGCTTATCCAAGGCCATTCTTCGTACCCAGAAGCTCTTAAAAAACTCGTCCAAAACGTGTTCCTTGAGGTATCCTGCAGTGACACCATCCGTCCCAGCACACTGAGAGACAACCTTGAGAACCACCTTCTTCATTTCTTCGTCGGGTGAGGAGAATTCGCGAAGCAGGATCTCCATGATTTGGCTGGTATAGTAGTTGGCATACTCCTCGTCCATCAGGGGAATGATGTATCCAACAGCCTTGAGGAAACCTGCAAGACCTTTGCCTCGCTGCTTGCGGGCGCCCGTCCATAGAGGGTTAAGGATGTCATCGAAACTCTCGATACCATAAGGGTTAGAGGCCTCAGCCAATGCGGCAATGGCCAGACTGGTGACTGTCCTGACCTTTGTCTGTTCGTCGTTGAGGTTAGGCCCAATACACTCAACAAGACCCTTGAGGTGAGGAAGCACGGCACAGCCCATCAGAATAGGGATTTGCTGAACAATCTTCACACCTGTGTGGCGGGCTTGCCATGACTTCTTGCTTCTGCAGACAGCCCGGAGGAAGGGTAGCAAAGCAGGGATGCCAAGGGCTGACGCTACCACCGCAAAGGCTCGTGCTGTTGTGTTCCGGACGTATTCATCGACGTGATCGATATCAGGTCGCATGGTGCTGATCATGGTAGCAAGACCAGCAGCCTTGCTCAGGTTAGAGATGATTTCTCGTCCCTCCACTCTGGCGTAGTAGTCTTGGTCGATGAGCAATGGCTCGATAACAACCAGGATCTTGTGGACGTAGGGCCGCACAAGGTCATCGAGCTTGTAGAGAATTCGGTCAATAACTTTCACCAGCAAATGGCGCTCTTGGTCCTCCAACGTCTTCTCCATGAGTAGGGGCAGGATTTGGTCAAACAGGGGACCAGCTCCGAATTGCCTGGCATTGTCGGTAATCTGGCGAAGAGCAGTCTTCCTCATGGGGGGAGTACCGTTCTTGATCTTCAACAGAAGCCTCATGATCTTCCTCTCTTTCAGCTCTTCAACCGTTAGAGCATTCTCATCAGAGCCATCGGTGAGCTTTCCGAAATATGCCATGTCTTCGGCTTTGAAGAACTGTAGGTCGCCTACTCCGGGAATCTCAGCAGGCATTGGCTTTCCACTGAAGCGTACTTGTTCAGGATCTTGCATCATGAAGCCTGATTGGGGAGCAGGGGTGGCCATAAGCTTGTGTGCTGGAGCGCGGACAGGTTCGTAGCCAGGAGGAGGCTCAAGGATCTTGTAACCATCGCTTTCGCCAGGTAGGAGGAGGTCGAGTTCTTCGTCGCTGAGAGGCATGTTTCGACCAATGTCGGTACCAAAAGTTGTTGGCAAAGTGGGTGCGGATGATGGGTGCGCAGGAGTAGCTAGCCCTGCGTTGCCCATGGGCGTAGCAGAAGGGGCCTGATCCCATCGCGAACGCTTCTTAGAAACCTCTGCTCCAGGTGCAGGAGCTTGGTCCCATCGCGAACGCTTGGGTTTCGCTGCTTCGCCGGCCTCAGCCGTATCATCCTCGGCGGGTGCCGACGACACATCCCATCGCTTCTTGCGCTTCCGAGCAGTCGAAGAAGCCTCGGTAGCTTCAGCTTCGGCATTAGCATCTGTTAGCATGGGCTGTGCATCGCTGTCATCACCAGTCTTGCCCTCCTGCTTCTCTTTGATAGCTTGCAAAACGCGCTGCTCCTCCCTTTCTAGTTCGCGAGCCTCCATAATCTCGCGATAACTGGTGCCATTCTCGGAAGCGCCAGCCTGGCGGTTCGCGGCAAAGGGATCGGCGCGTGTGGGAGTGACGGCGCGATTGAATCGGCGCTTTTGATAATCTGTCTCACGATCGACGATTCGACCACTCTTCTCGCCTTTCCCAGCAAGGATATCATCTTCCTCCACGCCACCTCCACGAGCGAACTCATCAATCATCTCTCGCGATGCGGTATACTGGCCAATTAGCCGTCGCGTATTGTCACCATCGCCCATCTCTTCATCGTCGTCACCCATCGGTAGCGAGGTGTGATACC